GCTATCCTATTACTATCACATGTCCCCTAACCCCACTGTAACTTACCTGTATGCCCTGAGCTATCCTATTACTATCACATGTCCCCCACCCCCACTGTAACTTACCTGTATGCCCTGAGCTATCCTATTACTATCACATGTCCCCCACCCCCCCACTATAACTTACCTGTATACCCTGAGCTATCCTATTACTATCACATGTCACCTACCCCCACTATAACTTACCTGTATGTCCAGAGCTATCCTATTACTATCACATGTCCCCCCCCCCACTATAACTTACCTGTATGCCCTGAGCTATCCTATTACTATCACATGTCCCCTAACCCCACTGTAACTTACCTGTATGCCCTGAGCTATCCTATTACTATCACATGTCCCCCACCCCCACTGTAACTTACCTGTATGCCCTGAGCTATCCTATTACTATCACATGTCCCCCACCCCCCCACTATAACTTACCTGTATACCCAGAGCTATCCTATTACTATCACATGTTCCCCCCCACTGTAACTTACCTGTATGCTCTGAGCTATCCTATTACTATCACATGTCCCCCACCCCCACTATAACTTACCTGTATGCCCTGAGCTATCCTGTTACTATCACATGTTTACTCTTGACTTATTCCAAACTCCCCCCATTGTTAGATGTCTCCTATCCCTCCCCTGTCTGTGCCTGTCCCGTTCTCTGTCTTTCTCTCTGTCTGTCCCTCCCCTGTCTGTCTCTGTGTCTCTCTGTCCCTGTCTCTGTCCCTGTCTCTGTCTCTGTCTCTGTCTCTCTCTCCTACCGCCTCCTCCCCTCCGAGTGGTGACGTCAGCGGAGGCTCCCCCGGCGACTTCCTGGTCAGACATACACGCCAGCGACTGCTGTGGACAGAGACTGCCCGGACAAGCGAGACGGCCTTCCACCCTGACAGAGAGACAGCCGCCAGCACAGTGAGAGAGACGGCCGGGATTAATGAGCTTTTAGAGCCAGCTCGGGACAGTTATGGGAGCAGCTGCCTGTGCTTAGTGACACACACACACAGTGCATAGAGAGTGCCAGGCTGGAGGGCAGGACATGGGACACCAAGAGAGACAGCAGAGAGCAGCATGAGACAGCCTGGCAATGAGAGGCTAGGGGACAGATAGGGCCCGGGGGGCAGTGTGACACACAGCAGTAAAGATACACTGACAGACAGCAAGGACAGAGACACTGACAGATAGCAAGAACAGAGACACTGACAGACAGCAAGGACAGAGACACAGACAGATAGCAAGGACAGACACACTGACAGATAGCAAGGACAGAGACACAGAGAGAGGATGTGCCCAGTGTGACAGAGGGACATGTGCACAAGGCACAGCACTGACACACTGTCACATACTATCTACACTGGGGACACACAGGGACAGACATGTGACAGAGCCACCCAGCACTAACTGGGACCGAGATGAGCTGAGTATGGACACCAGGACCAGGTGAGGACAGTGCTGTGTGGATGGATAAGATAATAGGAAGATAAGCAAATTATATGGGAAGTAGGGACTAGATTTATTTAAATTGAGGAGCAATAATATGCCAAGTGGTGATATTATGACATGATGGAATTTGTATAAGCCCTCTAACCCCTGGTCCTTAAAGAGGTTAATTATATATGAGGAAGTGACATCCAATCCATTACTGTAAAATATACATATATAGGTATGTGTCGAACATCTGTGTATGTATATGTCTGTATACATGCAGGTATATATGCATTCATACTTACAGAGTACAATGAAACCACATTACATGTATATAATTTGCTTAATTTAATTATTTTATTTTTGACAAAGATATAAAAAAAAAAAAATGTCAAATGAATGGGTGTTTTTATTTTCCTTTATTCACTTATGAATATGTAGAAATAAAAAGTCTATCTATCTGTTATGTTTAAAACAATTTCATTTTAGTTGAACACACCTCACCTAATAGAACCTAATTAGTGATCTCTATTACTTATTTTAAACCTTCTAGGGGGAATGCAAACTTTTGGCCCTGCAGCTGTTGTGGACTACATTTCCCATGGTGCTCATTCAGTAAAACGAAAACAAAGTCTACAACAGCTGTAGTACCAAAGGCAAACCATCACTGTGATAGATGGTAATAGGAATTGTCTGCAAAGTGATTCAAGAAATGCATTTGATTATATGTACCCTTGAACACATGAATCCAATAAGGTATATTATCATTTCATCCATGTTAATCTCTTAATGACAGATGACTTGCCAGAACTATCACAATGCAGTAGGATTTGCTTAACCTCTTGTCAGAATGACTTCACTTGTGACTTAGAATGACAAATGTCTAGTATGCTGCACTCTCAATCACGCCACTAGTTAGTTTTTTCCCCTCTGTCATTGGCCTTTCACGTCATGGAGGATCAAAGGGTCATTGTGCCTGCCAAACACTTTTATTTCTATTAAGTCACGTCATTTCTGTTTCATTATGTCACTGTCATTAGGTCACATGGCAATATGTCTTGGTCACCCAGCTTATCAGTACTTGTCTTGGATCATCTACAACGAGTATGACTTTTTTATCCATCTGATTTTGTAAGAGATTATGATTTGCTGTCGTCCATCTGCCTTGTCTAAATATAACTAAGGTCCAGAGAGAAGTTGTTATAAATAGACTGAAAGGTCAGCAGAATCATGCAACATTTATTTTATCACTTTCAAGTCTTCAGTTACAAAGCTGCATGTGTCTTTAATTATATAAGCATATTTCCCTCACATTTTCTGTATATTCTTCTTGATCGGTGGCGGTCAGCTTCCACACCCTTATCACGGACATCATATGGAGAAATCTGTCTGCACCAATTCAGCCATCAAAATTCTTGGACAGTGTGAGGGTGTCATTTTTTTTCACTTACAAGCGGTGGTCCGTGAATGCTCACATACGTAGCACCATTCCCTTCTCAGCTTACAGTGTGTATTGGACCGGGCAAGGAACAGAAAGTACTGTGTGCTTGTCACAGAACAGCTCCTCCAATAAGAGACTGCCTTATTCAACAGTAAAATTATTTTTTCACTAAATAGTGAATTGTGGTGAATAAAAAAACTGAATTGCAAAATCAATATTAAAACAGCTAAGCTGTGAGCTGGTGAATTTTTCTGAATTATTTGGCCAAATTTTTTAAATTTTATTTTCAGTCGATAATGATTAAATCTTTATTTGAATACTAAAGTCCCTATTATTTACTCATATTACATTCTGATGAAAATGTGACTATTTTCCCCCCACTTCTTCACCCTACAAAACAAAAACACAATTTAAAATTTCTGTAACTCAGTAGTTTCTTAAATTTTTACTTATTTTATTTTACTACTGATAGCTACACGTCACTAAAGCTTACTAAAACCATGAACTGACATATGAGTTATGAAAATCAGGTCAAATTAGCTAAGATTGGAATAATGCCTGGTTTGATTTTTTTTCATCTTGGCCTTTTTAGTCCTAGAGATTTTTGAAAGGTTGGTAACACACACCTCAGTTTAGTGAATAAACCCCTTTAAGTCCCAAAAAGATGTTCAATGCACTGCGTATCACTGCAGCACTGTCTGTTTACCCTGTAATTATGAAACTCATGTCCAACTCCTGGTATTATCCAAATTAGGCAGCTGTGATGTAAATCTGCTTTTAATGACGTTCCACTTGAGCATGACACAAACAACTTTTGAAAATGTAAACTTTTTGAAAATGTAAACTTTTTTTGACAAATCATTATAAAATACATACATTTTCTGACTTTTATTGCATCCCGGTGATAAATGACCTACATATACCATCTGGATGCTTTGTGGAATACTTGAAGTTGAAAATGACAGGTTTATTTATATGGAAAAGGAAAATGGTTTCTTGTTGGGGCGTCACTAAAGGATAAAATAGTGCCGAAGGCGAAATCTCTGTTTCAGTAAAAGGTCACATTGCACTATGGCTAGAAACAAGTTCACAGTCACCTGTTTGATAGGCTTGAAGTGTGCTACTAATGACTTTTCATCACACCGTGGTCCAGAGTCTACTAATGGCATCCATCAATCTCCTGTAAGAACATAGCGTGCCAAGGTACTGACCTACTGAAGTGACAGTAGCATTTTTTATACAAGTGTGTATAATTAAGAGACAAGCAAGAATGTCCTTTGTGTACGTTACTGTGCATTAAACTAGATGTCCCTCTAAATGGCCACCTACACACTCCGTGGAATAATATATGGGCCTTCTCATACCTTTCTATAAGAGAGTTTCAAAAGCAACGGTTACTTGAATACAAGTTTTATGGTTTAAATTAATTAAGCTAATTACTAATCATATAGAAAACACTAATCAACAGCTTGATGAGCAGCTTCAACATCTACCTACCCCACAAACTCAATGGTAGGGCAAGGAATAGCTGAGAAAACGTAGCCACTTCCTAGTCTCTGCAAAAGTTTCAGGATTGTAGGAAACTGTGGACTTTCAGACGTGAGATTTTAATTTACTTTTTAATGCATTATGGGGGCAGAAAATGTAATATCAACTGACACCTAGATTGTCTTTTTAATCATACGCTAATCAAGTATTAATTACCAATGTTCCTTTGTAACTTATTAGTGTTTTTTGTAATCTATATATAATATAGATGATACTCATTTCCACATCCCACGCGCAGTGAGTTGATGTATTTAACTGTGGACAGCAGAAGAAATTGTTTACAGAAGTTAACTGAGAAAGAACAGTAATTACATGTGAACATTCTAATTAAGAAGAGAAAATTGGAATAGCAATTTTTTTAGAGGAGGAAAATACTGGCATATGTACGACAGGTGGTCTGAATCACACTGGGATTGTTTTCTTTTTTCAATACTCTTCTTTACAGTTTTATTTATTATTTATAGCTGACTGAATAAAATCTTTTTGCCTTTGGATTTAGTATGGTGGCAATCTCACAGTTTAGAGGTGGGGTACGCAAGGTTGGGGGGAATGGACTTTAGGCGAGATGGAGACCTCTGTTTTAAAACTTAATTTCATATTCCCATGTTCAAATAACTTTTAATGTACTCCAACACAATTTATATATTTAAAGGGGATCTGTAAGCACCATAACCACAACAGCCTACGGTGATGGTGCCAAGAGCCCCAGGCACCATCCAATAGTTATATTTTAAACCATTTTGAAATTGTTTGTCATAAACAGAGGGTCCCTCAAGATCCCACTTTCCTGCCCCTCATTATTGATATCACTATTTCAAAAGTTCCCATTCCACATTAGTAAATTTCAATTCTGCAAAATTTTCGAGGTACCGTAATTGTTTGGCTGTGAGCATCAGATGACACTTTCAGCTAGTGAATTCAGTCCAAACAAGGACAGAAATGATATCCCTGAGAGGAATTTCTTAGTAATAAAGGGCTGGACCTCCGATGAACTTATGGTTCATGTCAAACCGTTATAAATTTCACTATAACTTTCACCATAACCAGTGCAACAAGCTGTGGTTATTTTGCTTAGAGTGCCCCTTTAACCTTTTTAGCAAAGGTGGTTGAATGCCATATAATGAAATCCTGTTTTGGCCATTATCCATGTAACTATTATGAATTTGAAAGAAATACATTTTATTTTGAGTTGTGCATTAGAGTGATCTATCTTATTTATGTAGTTTTTGTATAATTTATTATATCTTCCTTTGCATTCTGTCTTGCTAGCAGTTTCGACGTTTTATAAGATGCTTTTGTTTTCATTACAGGGAAAAGCCAGAGAGAACCTTCGATTTGGTTCTCAAGGTGGAGTGTCCAGTTTCTGAAAATGAAGGTACGTCTTAAATTTCTTAATTCCTCTTCTGATGTACTGTTTACAACTTTGTAAAGATCAGATCCTGTAAACTCCCTATAATTGTATGTCAAATCCTTCCTGTGGTTCAAGATTTGCATCAATTTTAATATATTTTTGTTTCTATCTTTAATTATTTTAACCATTGATATATGTTTCACATCACTGCTGTTTGTTTAACACTCTTAGTAAGCTCTGGCTGCTGTTTGTTAAATGAAGAGGAGTTGGTGTGGTTTTGTGGCTTTGACAAGAATCAAGAGTTGAAACTCCTTTTGCCTTTTTCAGTAGAATTTGAAGAAGATACTTGTCTTTGCATCTTGAAAAAAAAAAAAAAAGTGTTCTGTTTTGAGTTTTCATGGGCCATTTTTATTATTTTATAGTACTTTGTGGCTTCTGAGTGTGACTTTTCTATTTTAGCATTGTCAATATTAGACAGCATTGCACCCCACTTATGTGTCCATGCCCTCATATGATGTAGTATTCTCATGTGATTAGCACTCACTGTCTACATAATATATTTTTTTTTCTCCAGTGTATTGTTTTTATTGAGAGATTTTATCTGTACAAAACAGTACATAAACCAGAAGTGAACAGAAAGATAACATAAGCCAATAAAGCGTATTTAGAAATTACAGCTGGTATGGGGGGCGGTTACCATATCAATAGAAAAAATGTTCAGAATTAATCTAGGTTTAAAATCCTATATTTTTTTTAATGGATTTTTTCCTGTAAACTACAGCTTACCATTGCTTTATTGAATAAGTCGTTTATCCTCAAAGAACAGTTCCAATCATCACATAGGATGATTGGGATTGCTAAACAGACTGATAGCAGACTTAGAGAGGAAGGGAAACTTGTGGTTTGTTATACTACATCATCTCCAGTTTCCTGACCGAAACGGTGAATCATAATGATGAACGTTATCTTATTTATTATAAATTATGATTCTTTTAGATTATGATACAAGGACTGATTAAGCCGCTTCTTCATCTTGGCTAAGCTCACTGCAGAAGATGCAAATGCAAAAACATCAAATATATGTATATATATTTTTAAATTTATTTCATACGTTTGCTTATATTTTCAGTGTGACAAGTTAAAGCTATTGGTAGAATAAAGAAGTTTGCATTATTTCCTTTCTCAACGTATTGGGACCCCATGACTTTGATATGCCTATATTGCTATATCATTCCATAGGTACATTAGCTTTACATTAAAATTCTAGTCAGCTGTAAACGTTTTCTAAGTTATGTTTAGGTGAAAAGGTCATCTCCAGTTAGTAATAAAATGGGAATCATACAGCATACATCCCAAGAGTCCCTATTTAGGAGGGACAGTCCCTATTTCAGGGCCCTAATCCCTCTGTCACTCTTTTCTGTCTTAATGGCCCTCTTTTCTACGAGCTCCATATTGTTGGTTTGTCTGATTGTATACCAGAGCTAACAATACTCCAAATAATGTGTCTTTAAACTACAATAAACGTGTCAAGATATCAGTCTGTGTAAATAAGATACATTGTTCTTGTTCTAAATTATATTTTAGTTTCATAAATTGTTATTAGTAAGTCACCTAACTTTTCTCACAACAGCCCCTTTCCTGGTCACACTCCTACTAACACACCTAAAATGAAAGTGTTCCTCGTTGTCCAATTTGAAATGCTGGGAGTTATGATACGGTATGCCAATGATATATGCAGCTAATTTGTTGATCTTTTTAAACGACATTACTTTTCTACACTGCATCTGGAAGTGTATGTATATTTGCACAGCCCTCTTGCTGATCAATCCCAGAATTCCTGGCCAATCCTAATGCATTTTATAATCATTGAAATGGCTCAGTAGCTAAGTGGCTAAGTTTCATTTCAGTATCTCTAAGGCATTGGGGTACAAGATCAAAGCATCTACTTAAAAATGACATGTCTTTCAATATAGTAAAAACTTGGAACCCATAATATATAGGTGAAATTGCATTATCTCTAATGTGCAAGCAAGTCAAGATTGCTTAACTTTTTGTTTTTAACTGGTAATTTTTGTTTCGAAGTAAGTGATGCTTCATGTTCTGGTATCATTGTCGTCCTGCTATTAGTAGGTGTCAGCGCCAGCATCTCAATAGATCCGCTGAGTTTCTGTGTGATGTGTTCACAGCTAAATTCAGAATACTACACAGCTGCCCCATGCCTTATGATTTCCTGCTTGTGTCATTAACACCAGAGTGTTGGCAAGGCTTCAAAAGAAAGTAGAGTTTAAACACAAACACAGGAACTCATTGGGAATTGCTCAGATCCATTTAGTTTTCTACACTGTTTGAACTGGGGAAAGCGTCAGCGTGCAGTATTTCAAAACTAGCAAGAATTTGCTACAATATTATAAGGACATAACCTCCCAAAATCCCCAGACCTTCATATGAGTACTTAAATAGTTATTCAAACCAAAAAAAATGTTTTAATAAAACACTGGAATGTTTCCCCCAAAAGAAAAAATAATAAAGGGGGAAAAAAAGGAAAACGTACCTGCAATCCCACTCTGAGCTCAAGTCCTTCCAGCAGCTCAATCCTTCTCCACTGATGTTTACCCCCTCACTAGATGGTGAGGACTTCCCAGAAGATGGGCTGAGGGGAGAACCTTGGCATGGGACTGTGTTGTCATTGGTTATCTATCGCCAGCATGCTGATGAAAGATGTCCAATGTGCACAGATTTCACATCCTTAAGCCCTGTTACACTGGACTATATCTCTGTTTGTGCAGCGTTTCAAAGTGCGTTCCAAAATTTCCATTCACTGAATTGGTCATGGTGCTCTATTGAGTTTATTCACACAACTGAATGTAGTGAATTGAAAACCAATTTGTAATTTTTGGACCAAATAGATGATTGCATAAACTCACCCAGTGAACATCTATTTATTTTACCGAAATTTTCTAATGTATTTTCTAATTCACTAGAATTCAGAGTTTAGTAAATAAATCACTATTGTTTTATTATTTAAAGGACAGTCACTGTCATACTCTGAGCAGACATCGCTTGAAATGTGCTTGTTAAGCAAAATGAATATTGCGTGGGTTCACATTTCTGCTCTTGTGCTACTGCTCTTGTGGGTACAGCTAGAAATATGGCTGCCATAGGGAATGAATTTGCATCTATTTGTTTCCACATTGTTAATAGTGGCAACCGGGGTACACATTAGACATTGTGTAAGGCTGTACTTTGCTTTGTGGGAGTTGTTAGATGAGTGTACAGTCTCAGTGGTGCCCATTTTGCTGGCTGTGCCTTTGACTTTCAGGAGTGTTTCAAAGCAGCAGTGATTCAGTGCTTCTCTGTGAGAAGCATTCTTTTCAATTGGGATGATTTTGCATATATGCAAGAGTCCCACGGTGTGTCACTATCAAAAGCAGTGGATTTGCCTAGAGATCATCACTGTTGAGAGCCAAGCAGATGGAAGAAAAGTGAGCAAATTAAGTTTTAATTAAACAGTGGTGGCCCTCAGTCTACCCCAATAAGGAAACACTACACCGTAAGAAATAAATACAGTGCTTCTATAATGAGTATCTGCCATCTGTTGGAAAATTATAAATAGTAAGGCATTTTTTTCTTACTGTCCTATTTCTATGTAAAACAAATATAAGTGAATACTGAGCATGGTCAAACAGTTTCAATACAAGTTAGAGGATGCGTTGTCGCTTATAGGTAGCAAAAAATTGTGGAAAATGTAGTTCTAGAACAGCTGAAGATCTACCTCTTGACAATCTCTGATCTAAATCCAATCACTCTTTGTGGAATATCATGGGTGTCCTTTAAGAAGGCAACAATAATGTGAGCATTCAGGGCTGCAATGTCATTGCAGTAAAAATAATTGACTATAGGCCCTGCTCACAGCTCCATCTCCTGCAATGTCATCAAGAAGGCATCGCTCTCTCCATCGCTGGTCCAATACAATGCTCCTCCTGAAACGGAAAGTATATGTCAGAGCATGTGGCACACGGAGCAAATTAACTGTGCAAAATAAACCTGTCTAATAATAAACATAATTTTTTTTTTTATTCGCTAATAGATTAATAAAAATATTTACTCTCCACAAACTATTTCTAAATGACTAGCTTTCTAAATGACTGCCGGCGTCTAGCTCGGTTCCCTTGGAAGAGCCAGTATGGCGAAACGCGCGTCGGGATTAGTTTAGTGAGCGGTGGTTGGAGTCTGACTAGGGACGATGCTGCAGCTATTAGAATAATTTGTGTATGATGCTCCGGGCAGACCACCCTCTCTACATTACCAGTATTTAGACTATATTATTATCTTGGCGATCCTCCATTAGAGGCTACTTTGTTGCACTTAGAAAGGAGATTAACGCTCGAGACTACTGAGAGATAGGAGTAGCAATATCAGTGTGGTAACAGTGAGATAGATTCTAGTGTTTCTTTAGTTATAGATACTTTTGGATTCAGTTTGATCCACCAGGAACCTTTTCTCTCTGTGCTACTATTTATACCTTAGCTCTCCTTCTCTCCTTTTATTTTATCTATTCATTTATTATCTTTTCACTAAGTACCTAAGAGTTTATTTTAGAAGGAATCCTATTAAAAGTTAAATTTTATACTATTTTCATATGGGTTTCTTTGCATATATAGGGAACCTTTGGGACTGACTCACTTAACCCTTAGGTCTCTCTGTATCTGCTTGCTTTCTCCTTTTTTTGTTATTGTACTAGTTACTAGGGGTCACCCCCCACGTTCTGTAAGCAACCCGACCTTATACCCCTGTTCCTATCCCCCTTTTTTTTCTACTTCACAAACTATTATTTTATTTGAGAAAGTGAATCTAATTTTCAGAATCATGAATAGGCACAGAAGAATATCAGCCATTTTCTTTTTTTTTTTTAATTTGTCTCGGAAGCGGTTTTTCATTAAACTAAGAATTGTGGCAAATTGATAAGAAGATTTTACATATCAGACCAATGCAGCAGAGTTGGAGAATCTTTCCAAATATTTTGACCTCCCCTTCCCCAGTTAATGAATAAACACAGGATCATTTTTCCAGTTAATTTTAAACATGGGCATGATTGAGAAAAAAATGTCTTAAGGAATTATCCACGAGAAAGTAACAATGATATGCAAAGATGTGACGTACGCTTATGTGGTGCTGTGTAGTGCAATGTTGGCCAAATGTAGATTTTCATCTGTTGTAGAACCCAACTCCCATGACTTTCCCCCCAATATTATGAGGATACCAGAATTTATTTAAAAAAGTAAAATAAAAAAACTCCTAAAAATATTTCTATATGTCTAGATTACATAAGTATTTTACGTTTAACTTTAAGGATATACATGTTCCCTTTCTCCTAAATTCAGATTTGTTTCAGGTTGTTATTGTGACAACCGCTTCTTAAGATTTACTTGTTTTTAATTGCTTCTGTATAGACCTCACTCTAGCCATGAGGTCTTTTTAATCCTGTCTGTCTAGATTCCTTTCCACATCTGCTGAATTGACAGAGTGCTGTAACTTAGCACTCATCTGTTAGAATCACAAAATAATATTACAAATCCTTTTTAAAAGGCCTCTCTGTAACCATAACATCTTCATCTCAGTTAAGTTGTGGGGTCTGAAGTCTCCTGGTGCTGTTCTACCTTACTGTGTTAAACTGTTTAGGAACCAAAGTTCTGTGCTCAGGCAGTTTTCACTAGCTGCCCATTGAGAGTACTAGTAGGTGATGCTCTCTGCCTTTCATTAGCAGTCCAAAGTAATGATTCTCTATTTTCTGAGGGGAAAACAACTTAGGAGGTATGATAGGTGTGAAAGGACAGAACTTCGGTATTAAAGGGTTCGAAAATGGTTTAACATTGTAAAGTAAAACCAGTGGTAGAACTAGAGAAGGCCCTGGTGAAATTATTTTTCTGGGCTCCGCCCTATCGCAAGGTAGATTTCCACTGTTGTACAAGTCTCTCAATGCTTCGCCAGCTGCAAATCTACCATTTGTCCACCCCTTGAGCAGTGTTTGTGTGTTTGAACTTATGCAGATATAAACACTAACGCAGGCAGATACACTAGCACACATACAGATACAAACACAGACACACATGCACGCTGAGGGGGCCCACCGAATGGGCCCCCTTAGCGTGCGGGCCGCAATTCAGCTGCAGTGACTGCACCAGCTGTATTTTTGCCATTGGGTAAAACAGCAACCGGGGACTGCAAGCACCATAGCAACAGTGAGATGAAGTTATCATGGTGCACTCTCAAACTCTGCACCCCCATATTCCCTGATTTTGAAGGCCTTCAAATCCTATAATTTCTTGAAAGCAATAGATGCCTAGAGAATCACATTGCGTTGTACTTCAGTAACATTTCGTGGGCTGGAGTTTCATTATTAACAATAATAGCTTATGTTCATTGCGTAGGTTATAGTGCTAGGAATTCTTCTTTCACTATCCTTTTAGTTGTTTATAAATTTAGTAATCATTAAATAAATCCCAGTAGCTAAAGCCCGATCACCTCATTTTAAAGAGGAGAATCTTTTTTTCTTTTTTAATTCAGAAAATTTTATTTTTATATTTTATTTAATTTGCAATATAATATATGCACATTATAAAATCATACCAACTCCAGACTGGAGTACTCTTTTTATGTTTGATATAAGTAACACACACACCACGGGAACACGTAGTTTGTCATTATGTTTGCTTGCTTTAGAATGTACAGTAGTTATCTGTTATATATAAATCTGTACTTGGGGATCAGAGATCTGTACTTGGACACATTATCTTTAATATTTTTATTAGTGATATTGCAGAAGTTCTTGATGGTAATGTATGTCTTTTTTTTGCTGATGATACTTATATATGTAACAGGGTTGATGTTCCAGGAGGAATAAGCCAAATGGCAAATGATTTAGGTAAACTAGAAAAATGGTCAAAACTTTGGCAACTGACATTTAATGTGGATAAGTGCAAGATAATGCATATTGGATGTAAAAACCCAAGGGCAGAGTACAGAATATATGATAGAGTCCTAACCTCAACATCTGAGGAAAGGGATTTAGGGGTGATTATTTCTGATTATTTAAAGGTAGGAAGACAATGTAATAGAGCAGCAGGAAATGCTAGCAGAATGCTTGGTTGTATAGGGAGAGGCATTAGCAGTAGAAAGAGGGAAGTGCTCATGCCATTGTACAGAACACTGGTGAGACCTCACTTGGAGTATTGTACGCAGTACTGGAGACCGTATCTTCAGAAGGATATTGAAACCTTACATAGGGTTCAGAGAAGGGCTACTAAACTGGTTCATGGATTGCAGGATAAGGAAAGGTTAAAGGATCTTAACATGTATAGCTTGGAGGAAAGACAAGACAGGGGGGATATGATAGAAACATTTAAATACATAAAGGGGATCAACACAGTAAAGGAGGAGACTATATTTGCAAGAAGAAAAACTATCACAACAAGAGGACATAGTCTTAAATTAGAGGGGCAAAGGTTTAAAACTAACATCAGGAAGTATTACTTTACTGAGAGGGTAGTGGATGCATGGAATAGGCTTCCAGCTGAAGTGGTAGACGTTAACACAGTGAGGGAGTTTAAGCATGCGTGGGATAGGCATAAGGCTATCATAGCTATAAGATAATGAAAGTATTTAGAAAATTGGGCAGACTAGATGGGACGAATGGTTCTTATCTGCCGTCACATTCTATGTTTCTATAAGGTCATCCAGCATAATTACATAACTTTGTGCTCTGGAAGTATTTAAAAGTCATTTCAGAAAAGTTACTGTATTATGTCTCAGATGGAGAGCTGGGATTTCACGTTAAAAGGTCACTTAATTGTGACTTGGCAATGTTTTACTGTCCTGGTGGTAATTGTTGAGATTCATATAAATTTATCAGGATCTCCATGCCCAACTGAATTGTATGGCATTCTCTATGATCAAGTTCATTCAAAATTGAACTCCATAGCAAGTTCAACCGTGAAATTAATTGGGACTAGATGGATGTTTTAATGAATTTTGCTGCAACTTGAAGAATAGTGACTTTTGGCCTTTTTGCCCTTTGGGTCTACAGTGGTCACAACCCCAAATGTTAGTTTTCCCTGTAATTTAGTGGAAAAAATGAGTTGTAGCACTTTACGTTTTAGGAACAGGCCACTCAAATGTATACAAATTCTGTGAATAGCAAATATAATTTTAGCTGTTAAATGTTTTTGTTCTGAAAATGATCTTGTAAGCTGATATAATTTGTTTGGTTTTTGCTATTTTGGTCACATTTCATCTGCAAACTTTGTTGGTGTGCACAGAGGGCACTTCTCTGTGATATTACTATGCCCCTGGAGTTTTACATTAAAAAAAACAAAACAAAAAAAACCCCATTGTCTTATGATATATATGTATATGACGAGTTTTGAAAGGTTTATTAAGTTTCCCAGTTAGGCAGCTATACTTTGAGAATCTAAAGATAGAAGCAGGGGAAATTCTATTCTGCTTGTATATCTCATAATTTAAAGATGAAGTATTCTAGTAACAAATATCTAGCACACCTGTTAAAATTTGCACCTTTGTCCTGGCTTTTCGCTAACACAGATCTCATCCAGTTAAATGCTTCATATTGCACTGTAAATTGATCATAATGAACCTCACATATAAAAGTTCCCCATTAAGAGACTTTATCCCTTCCATATTCCCAGCTAAATTCCTTTTGTCACCCATGCAGACAAAACCCTTTATCTGAAATAATAGAGGTTAGATAGGACTTTTGGGCAACATACACCTTTCTCAGTGGAAGGATTTAAACCTAAGACAGAGCTCACTTACTACTGTTAAGGTGGCATTCTAAGGAACATAACCACTACAATTCACGCAGTCGTGCTATTTAATGTCAGATTATTTAAGGGCAGTTTGGCACTCAGAAACCACACACTCTTATCTATTTTCATAATGCAGAATTAACACTTCTGCATTTTCAATGTCCGTTTTCGTCCACTTGGATGACATTGATTGGCTTAGTGCACTGGGCTCTCACTGAATACACTTAAAGGAACACTATAGTGTCAGGAATATACAAACATGTATTTCTGACACTATAGGTCTAAAAAGCCATTTAAGTGACTTTATCCTCCCCCGTCCCCTGTTAAAAAGGTGATAGACTCACCTTTTCCAGGGCCGTGCTGCCCCCCAGATTTGATGATCTCAGCCAATCCAAAAAAATTAAACCAATGAAAAATAGGCACTAAGTTACTGCCACTAGAGGTGTTGCAAGGCTGTAATGTAAACACTGCCTTTTCTCTGCAAAAATGGACATGCAGAAGACACCAGAACAACTACATTAAGCTGTAGTTGTTCTGGTGACTATAGTGTCCCTTTAACCAGTTAATGCTGTCCCGGTCGGACAAAATTGTCATCGTTAATGTGGGAGTCTTATTTCCGCATTATCAATGTAGCCAAAAAGGGATTTAATTTTTGGTTCCTGGAATCCAGCTATAGCTCATTGATGGCCATCATCCCCTTCCAGGCTGTGGTAAGCAGATCTAGTGTTAAAACACACAGCACAGAATCCAAACTATATGGATTTAGAAACAAATGAAGTCATGGCACGTCAGCGACTCCTTAAAGGTGCAATATAGAAGTGGGACTAGCCATGTCTAATAGAGGAAGATAGCATGTCTATATTTTTATTACACACATTATAATCCTGCAATATTATATATAATATATAACATAAAATAGATACACTTTCCTTTTGGCCAGTTGCTGTGGGACTTGGCATTTTGCCCAGAACAATATTGAATTTATGTTGAAACAAAATGTAGTGCAATGTCTGACTAGGCAGAATTCCCAGACTGTTACTATGAATGTAAAAACAAAATGTATGGCTACGGCTAACTAGGCCGGAATGCCAGATACTTACTGCTCAGTATAGTAATATTCTGAAACATGTCTTATCCGGGACTGTATAAGACATCTTATAGTACATCTTATTACTCTTATTGGTGTTTAGAACTCTCCCCAATCTAGTCAAATACAACATTTTCTTTTACCAGAATCTGCACTTACAGCAAAACTCACTGGGTTATTTATTAAAGTGAGAATCGTAAGGAATTTACAGTTAAAGGGATCCTATAGTGCCAGGAAAACAAACCCGTTTTCTTGGCACTATAGGGTTAATAGGTCCCCTCCCTCGGGGCCCCCTTTCCACGGGGCTGAAGGAGTTAAAACCCCTTCAGCCACTTACCTGAATCCAGGGCCGATGTCCCTCGATGCTCGGTCAGGCTCCGCCCACGCTCCTCCCCTGCCGACATCAGCCGGCGGGGGAGACCTAATGCGCATGCGCGGAAATGGCCGCACGCGCGTTAGACCTCCCCATAGGAAAGCCTAATGCGCGTTATTTAAAGCTTTCCTATGGAGAAAATCTGAAGCTGGAGGTCCGTGAGGACGCCCAGCATCAGCTAGCGGACCAAAAGTCTGTTTGAATTCCGGAAGCACTCTAGAGGCTGTCTGTTAGACAGCCACAGATGGCAGACTTAGTGCTGCAATGTAAACATTGTAGTTCTCTGGAACTGCAATGTTTTACATTGCAGCACTAAGTGCAAAAGGGTCACAACACCCAGACTACTTCAACTACAGTGTCCCTTTAATTGGAATCAAATTTCATTTATTAGGCAAAAACTGTTGTACTGGAAACATATCATGATTAACTTACCTGAAAGTAGTCAAATGTATCTGTTTGCTATAATTAGCTGTTTGATGGGGAGTGATTTATCATCATAAGTGCTCCCTCTTTTACTAGGCAATCTCTAATGAGCACATACAAGTTTTATTACTTGCGTACATACATGCATTTAATATACAGAGTAGTTAGGTAACTCTGAAAATTTTTCAAATAAAAGCTATTTATTCAAACATCCAATTTCATAATACATTTGAAAACATTGCTGTAACTGCAGATAACATTTAAACCGGATGTCTTACCAATATCGTATGCATGAACGAGGGCTTGCACAATTAACATAAAATACAACAATTTTACACCTCGTAAAAACAGGGTATATGTTTAAACTAGCTGACACGTGTACTGTTGTCGACACTGCCATCTTTTTTAGCCTGGAGTGATACTCTACTATCACCACATTATTCTCATATAAGTATGACAATAGATAAGTCATTATAGAAGAATTCATTAGATGCCTGACATCAATGGAAGATTCCTTCACGTGTTCCTTCAACCCAGGCTTCCCCAAACTCCGGCCCTCCAGATGTTGCTGAACTACAACTCCCATGATTCTCAGCCTATCTATTTCATTCATAGACTCATGGGAGTTTTAGTTCAGCAACATCTGGAGGGCCGGAGTTTGGGGAAGCCTACTGTAACCTGTCAGTTCATAATTTCACAGATGTCAGTAACTGAGAGCGGCAAAAATTTAAAGGTATTCATATCAGTAAGGCTAGCTGATCCATCTGCTACCATTATCTAAATCTACGTAACAATAAATTAGTTCCATCTTGCCTATAAGTATAATTTAAAAACAAAGCAGAATAAAAAAAAAAAAAGAATTGTAAGGAATTCAAAGTAACTTTGAAATTTAAGGCCAAAATAGCTGAACCTGAAAAATTCTCAGCTGTGCTTCCAGTTCTGCTACTTTGGCCTTAACGTGATGTGTATAAAGTAAATCTGCCCCAAATAAATCATAGAGATACATGATGTACTCAATGTAAAATACCTTCCATCATTACTATTTCCTCAGCTTTGTGGGTATTACTCTTCATGTACCACTCACCTCTGGTCTGTCCTCTGCTCCTCCTGTCTTCTGTGCCTGTGTCATCCCTGCTTGTGGACAAACCTCCTCAGTGTCCCCCGGCATGTTTTCTTCGTTGTCAGCATGCCGCTTGTCTGAACGTTTAGTGCTGGCGTCTGTTACCATACTCCTTAGCTGGCGCTAGCGGCAGTGCCCTGTGGTTGCTATACTTGGGAGAGTAGAAGGACCTCCTGTTGGAGATCTTTTCTTCTATCTCTTGTCAGTCAAATTTTCGGCATTGAATCTATACCGAAGATTATACTGATAAGTGGAAGGAAAAAGAAAACATTTTGTAAGTAGGTTTTTCTCCCCAACTATACATTTGCCAGCAAAACTGTAGAGCTAATCAAATTTGCGAAGTTCCTTATTATTCTTTAAAGATAATATTTAGGCAATCTGTTATTCCGCTGAAAATCTATTTTGGCAGCATTCATTATTGCATATATTGTGACCAGATCCCCCTATATGTTCGACTGACTGAATTGTATTCCCTGACCATAACATGACTGTCACTGTGCTACACAGAAGGATCCAAGAATTTTCTTTCCTTCAGCAATGTCTATTGAGTATTGGCGTTTTTGTGTCATGGACTTCTCTTTTATTTGCAAGGTTATTTAGTAAACCGCGATTTGTTTGAACTTTAAAGTGACTTATATATTATATAATAGCTGAATGACCTTTGAGCACTTTTCCAATTGAGCTATACTGACATAGAATTTAAAATTCACTCTATGCCAACCCATTCACAGCTAAGTAAATAATACTGTAATACTCTGATATACTTTATCTTTAATTCATTCTGTGATCTCTCCTGTTTGTTGTTATTCCGCAACATTTGTTTGTAGTCTGCAGCATGCCCTACAAGACCATTTTAAGATGCTTTCTCAGGGATGAGACGCTCAAAGCTTACCTTTCCCTTTAAGTACGGTTTGTCAGATACCGATCTTCAATTGGCATTCCAGTCATTCCAGAAATTTGTTGAATTTGACCACAATGTACAGGTTCTTCTATTCAAATCCTCATTTTGTTATGGAATGACACAATTCCTTGGTGAGGAGGTTTAGAAACATCCCAGTGTTCTTACAAAATATCAGTGCCGTTAGTGAGTATGCCATAGACTCTCCAAGATTGCTGTGACCAATAACTTATTCCAACCCTTATTGTTACAATACATGTATTGGAAGAGTTGATATGGACTCTGAGTAAATGAATCTTAGACAGGGATGGCCAAAATAGTTATACCATGATAATTTACCAGCTATTAAAGAATTACTTGAAGGACCATAACCTCTAGGGCCAGCTATAGTGGTTATGATGCCAGGAATATCCTCTTCCAGATCCCCAATAATGGAGCAGGTGACCGCTTTCAGACTATGACTGACATTCTCTGCCTGAGAATTTGCATACAGTTGACATTAGTCAGCCTGGAGCTCTTGTTCTAGGCTGGCTGATAATACCCCAAATATGCTGCTGGAGGTGGAGTTACAGCTCTGGCAGTTAAGGGGTTAATCTCTGTATGTGCAAGGTTTCAAAGCCAAACGCTGCACATACAGACTTCAGGCACCATGACCACTTCAAATGACTGAAGTAGGTCATGGTGTTTGGAGTAACCCTTTAAGCAGAATGTAATGGGAGCTGGCTGGCAAAGCATCAAGGTTATTGTAGTTCTGCAATCACTGTTCGTCAATTTATTGATTTCCCCTGTTTTAAGACATTTACACCTACCTGGCATAGAAACTGTGTATAACATATCCTACCTCCCAATGCCTCAATTCTGAAGAAATTAATGTAAAGTATATTGCTACACTACGTTTTACACACACAATATTTTTGAGCAGTTCTAAATGCCAGCCTTTAAATTAATAAATGTGTGCATTTATAATTGTCTGTTCACTTCCACGTTCCTTATACTAATTCCTTTTTTAATTCTATTATAAAGCAAATAAAAACACAATGTTTTCAATTTCTCTTAGGTTATTTTATGTCAAAAATATGTTCGTTCCTAAAAAAAAAACTTTGGATTGACCCATCCTTGACTCTCAGCAGGTTAGCAGTGTTAATCCCTATTCACAAGGTCCTTTCAGAGCAAGATAATTCCTCACTCAGTGACTTCCTGGTGACAGGGAGATCTGACACAGACATTTCGGTTCTCTTTTATCATCACAGAAAGTATTTTTCTGTAACTCACAACCTCAAAATATTCAACTTTGTACGGTCCCATTGAAAGTCTTGTAGCATTGTCTTAAAATTTGCTATAATCTAATTATCTAATCTATTCTATATTATTATGGCAAAAGAGCAAAACCTGAAAGTTGTGTTAGCAAAGACGATTAAAACTTCACTCTTAACCAACTATGGCCTCAATTTAAAGGACCACTATAGTTCCAGGAAAACAGGGTTCCACTCCCTCACTGAAAATCACAGTGAGAAGCGCGGAAGCGCCTCTAGCGGCTGTCAATGAGACAGCCACTAGAGGCTGGATTAACCCATATGTAAACATGGCAGTTTCTCAGAAACTGCTATGTTTACAGCAGGCAGGGTTAATCCTAGATGGACCTGGCACCCAGACCACTTCATTGAGCTGAAGTGGTTTGGGTGCCTATAGTGGTCCTTTAATAAGATTTCCAAAAGATTCAATACTGTTAGAACAATCTTCGAAATGATTTACCTACAGAGGTCAGTCACTATGAAAGGGAATTTTTGTAGATAAATAATTTGGAAAGTATTTCTAATAGTATCGATTAAAGGACCACTATAGTGCCAGGAAAACATACTCATTTTCCTGGCACTATAGGGTCTCTAGGTCCCACCCTCTGGGTCCCCCTCCCACTGGGCTTTAGGGGGTGGAAGGGGCTAATTCCTTACCTTTTTCCCCCTTCAGGCTCCCTCGGCGCAGGGAACTCTCCTCCTCCTTTTCGCCGTCATCGGCTGAATGCGCATGCGCGGCAAGAGCCGCGCGCGCATTCAGTTAGTCCATAGGAAAGCATTCTCAATGCTTTACTATGGACGCTGGCGTTTTCTCACTGTGAGACAGCCACTAGAGGCTGGATTAACCCATTTGTAAACATAGCAGTTTCTATGTTTACAGCAGAAAGGGTTAAACCTAGATGGACCTGGCACTCAGACCACTTCATTAAGCTGAAGTGGTCTTGGTGCCTATAGTGGTCCTTTAATTTGTAAATCTTATTAAATTGATGTCTATGTCCTTTCATAGTGTATAGTTCATGGAGCTGACTGGTCTTGTGTCCTTGCAAATATGTCACTAATAACTGCAACAGTTCTTAAAAATTGATGAATCCATAAGTACTTGTGTAATGCGCAAATGCCATACACGTGTCCTATTAATTTTACCATTTTTCCTAACTTTCTATATATTATTTCAAGATTTGAGTAACTTCCTCTGTTTGTCATCAATGTAATTAAAAAGCAAAATCATTAAAACTGTATACCAAAAAATATTAAGCTTGCCCTCAATGGACTTGCTTAGTTCCAGTCAAATAGAACAAGCTCCATAGTGTAATATGTAAGTAGGTATTTGTACCATCATATTCACTAAAGCTTAGTAAAGGGAAACATGAAACATGCAGATGAGGGAATAGAATTTAAAATCCTCAGATTGAATAAAAACAGGAAATTAAAATTTACCACAAACTCCCCCCTCCTCCCCCGCAAAAAATGTTGAGCATGTATGACAAACATGTTTCCAATTTACTTATGCTGACGCTGTTGACGATCTTTGATGTTTCTGTGACCTTCGAGCCACCACATGTCACCAAACTGTGGATGGTAGCCAAGCTGTCTTCGTAATGCTGTATGAGGTTATATTGCACTTTACAATTGTAGAGAGTCCTCACAGAACATACATGCCATTCTATAACATTGTTGTTGTATTTTTGTATGGTGGCTCCCAGCCTCGTTGCTCCTAGTTGCTGAAAATGTTCACATTACTAATTCAAAATGGCAGCCCCCATTACGTGTTTCATTTGGTCTAATCATATTGATTTTATATAAATTTCTATTTTTAACACATAGCTCCATGTACACTGTTTACAGGATACACCATATGAACACAAAAAATAGATAGGGGACATGCGTGTCTTAATGTTTCATAACTTTGCAAATTTTGTGGTTTAGTGACCAAATGTGTTCTTTATTGAATATTTTTTGTATTATTAACACTTCAGCATGTTCGGACATCTGAAATGCTATTTGCGTCATATTTTATATAAATATATAATGATGTAGCTAAATTCTCATGTTAGAACTATTTTCGCATGTTTTTTAGTGTTCCATTATTAATACATTGTGTTCTTTTCAATCAAGTGACAGTTTCCATCTATGTTCAACCTTACTATCCCATTAGCACACTTTATATTTCATGTGTTAACATATTTTTATTTAGTTGTTGAAGTGTAAATAAATAAAGTTTAATTTTTTATTAACAATATACATTTTAGGATTAGTTTTTCGATTGCACCTTTTGAGTACATGGCCTGTTATGTTTTATTCAAACTTTTGTAGCCTTAGTAGTGTGTCATCATGTACTGAGCAATATTTCTTTCCAAACTTCTGTAGACCTAATTAGTAAAAATAATAAGTATGTATTGCAATTTATGTATACATGCCGGTAAACAGACATAACAGTCTGTGTTGCGTCTTGATTCTGCTCAGAAAGTCTATAGATACATTTTTAGTATTTTCATTGATACACATGCTTTGGTGTTCAGGGTCAATGTAGTACTAGCTCATTCTTCTTCCTCTAAAGCCCCCAATCTCTGATGTCTCTGGCTGTTTAAACTCACGCAGTGGCCAGAGGGATAATACCCGTTTTTTTGCCATATGTCCCGATACTGAGATGATCATCAGCACCACAGGACCCTCTTCACATTTCCACTCCAGTGACTGAGAGGATTCCCTTGACCCTCCCCAATGGGATGACCGACGAGACGCCGCCAGTCAAAGAACCCCACCGAAGGAGCATTGTGAGAGCTGGCCCCTCTGCCATACTCAAACAACCAGCACAAAAGCCACTCTTTTGTCTGACATAACAAAGACTCAACACGTCTTACACAATGGCAGAGTCTTATCACAGTGAGCGTGGACTGTGTGAGGCATCCAGAGCCTTACTTGGCCTCAGGAGCAGAATAAAGTGCTGCTGTGTAAAGGGGAACATGTTGCTGTATCAACTTTCTGTTCATCTATTAATTTTTAATAGTGTAAATTAGGTATTTTTATATTAAGAAGCAACTCATGAATTCTTAATTGCATGTAATTTTTCTTAGGGGACATTTAAATTATGCCAGTTTTTAATGCCAAATAGTAAGTGTCCTTGCCTATAGTTCGTTATGGCTGACAAAGCATCATGGGAGTTGTAGATCTATGACAACTGGGTATCCTCCTATTGGCCACCTGTACTTCAAATGTTACTTGCATTGCTTTTCAAATGTTCTGATAAGTGGGCTATACATGTTATATCCCTAACTGATCAGGAAAGTTGATCATTTGTACAGATTTAGTAAGTAAAATTTCCATTGAATCAATTGTACTGTATTAAAGGGACACTAATCACCAAAATCTCTTGACCTTAATGAATTGATTTTTTAACGATGATATTGCACTGCATCCTTAGATGTGAAAATTGTGTTATTTCTGAGAATTACTGTTAACAAAATGTAAACAAGTATTATTCGATCCATGCTATTCAATAATTACATTTATTTGATGTGCGTCCTCAGCATGCAAATTATATTGGTGCCAGATGCTTGGTGAACATGCAGTGCTTCTCTTTGAGAAACATTGGTTTCAATTATTCTTGTTGAGAAGCAATAGGTTGACAAATCATTGTGATAACCACGCATGCACCGTATGTCTGCAATGCTTCTCTATTAGTTTTTTTTTTTTTTTGAGCTGGTTTAAAGAACTACAATAGTGTTAGGAATACACTATATGCACTTGTGAGTGTGTTTTCTACCAATCACCACCTCTTCCCATATATCATTCATACTGTACCATTAGATTCTCTTTCCTTTATTTTTCATGTACTTTGGATTCCATATACCCCTAAGTTAAAGGGTGAGTGAGTATTGCTTAGCGCTCCACTTAAAGCTTAAAGGTTTGAGGCTGGTTGTTACCTCTTCAAACACCTTATTTACATTATATACTACGCTTGGTGGATAAACGAGAGTTCCACAACAGTTTTGCAGCAGCTTAATTAACGACATTTCTAACAATCCTTTTTAAGCACCTAATTGAACACACAGAACACTTTTCACTAGATGCATCGCTATGAGACCCCAGCCAGATCGACTCTCACAGATAACCTCTTCAAATGCTTCTCATAGAGAGTATATTAGTGGAGTAGAGTGGGACTGGCCTCACAGGCACTTCTTGTCCCCAGTGCTCCTTTATGGGAAGCATTGGATTGGACGAAAGATAAGAGTTGGCGTGATGTCACAGGAGGTGGATCAGGTGCCTTCAGAGACTGGATCTTAGTTCTGTAAGGAAAAATGATAACATTAGTGGGGGGCAGAATCTAAATGTTGATGCGAACACAATACCGTTAGGAATGCTGGTTTGTATTCCTAACTCTGTAGTGTTCCTGTAATGGTGTCTTTTAAAGTATTTTATTTTAATTTTATTTTTTTATATTTCATATTTTAAAAAGGGGAGCCAAGTATTTTAATCAAGCAAAGGAACAAATTTTAAATATTTTTTTTGAGACTGTTCTTTTAATACAGAAGCTGTGTTACAGTGATGCAAAGTAAATAGTAGAGAACACAATGCTTCTATAATTACACTCAATAATTTCATGTAAATTCATGGAATGATATTATTTAAGGTTGATTAGTATCTCTATAATGCCACAGCACAGCCTGCAAGTGAAGAAGCAGATTACGTCAGTCACCAATCTGCAGAGAGACATCATTTTTGCACAGAACAAACATCAGGTTTGTCTGGAACAGAGAGCTGGATTGCCTTAGTCACATGTGCTACGGGTGCAACTAGACTCCCACGCTAAAGTGTAGATTTCTCTATATAGACATAATTTCAAGCGGAAACACTGCACATAGAGATTGCTTGCTCCCAAAAGCAGAAGTGGTAATGGAGGTTGGAGTAACTCTTTAAGTTACTCACTTGTTGGTTATTATTTTGATTCTGAAAGGGTGTACCAGTTTGCATACCTTCTTTGTGTCTGTTAAACCCTCAATTTTACGTTATGCTGGGAATCGCCCATTAGCGTCCGCACTGCCGCAGTATAATTTTTACTGATGCCCAAACAGTATATGGTCTGGTCTTAAAATATACAGTTCTCTACTGCCAGTCAGTAGACTGTGGCTACCCTTTATGATTGTCTTTTGACTCACTCTTTTGATGGTGTTTTTGATATTTCTTCTGGTTGTTTTTTTCCTCTTTTTCTTTTTTTAATTTGTTTTACTTTTCTTTGAAAATAATCTGAAAATCGAAGCAAATTACTACAAAAAACTAAAATATGTGAATCTCTGACATTCGAGCCCAGCCCTGCTTCAGCAAATTGTAGTTCTTTGTTACACACAATGGTGTATTCTGGTTTTGTGCTGCCCTAGGCATGACAAAACTCAGGCACCCCCCCCCCAAATTTCAAAATTTCTCTTCCTGACAGACACGCCCTCACTGATGCACTGACATACACTCACAGATACAGTCATTGTCACACACACTGTTTAACCAACACACACTTTCACTGAAACATACACATTCACAGACATACACATACACACTCACTGACAAGACACACATGCACACTCACTCAGTGTCAGACACACACACTGGGACACACATATACTCAATGACAGATACACACTGACAAACACACATATACACACTCACTGACAAGACACACATGCACACTCACTCAGTGTCAGACACACACACTGGGACACACATATACTCACTGACAGATACACACTGACAAACACACATATACAGACTCACTGACAAGACACACATGCACACTCACTCGGTGTCAGACACACACACATACACTCACTGAGAGATACACACTGACAAACACACATATACAACACTCACTGACAGACATATATACACTCCGTAAAAAACACAAAAATTAGGTGCTCACTATATACTTTAAGGCAGCAGTAAATCAAGGATTCCCCAAAACCTTGTAAGAATAGAGACAGAAGACAAATACAAAAAATAGATAACCGCGCCTTAAAACACAGTAATGTACAAAAATGAAGCCAAATATAAAAAATATGTACATACTTTTTTGTTAAAAGTCTATGAAGTCTTTGGCTATACAGTTCAAGAAAAAGGAAAAAGAGACAATAATAGTGCAGTATGTCTTTAACACAGTGAAGTACATTTACATTTTTTAAAAAAGTTCATTCCACCCAGCCTTCCTACCATTGAGGGAAGAGCTCAGTGCAGAATGTTCCCTCACCTTCCACCTACAACATCAGGAGATGCCAGCGTTGGTGAGGGGGGTGAGCGGAAGGGGCCCGAGGGGCCAGCTCTGGGTCCCCCAAGGACAGGAGCCTAGCAAGGCATCTGCCAGGGCAATTGGGGGCAGCTTTTTTTGCAGCCTCCCCTGAAAGTGCTGCCCAAGGCAAATGCCTTGGCAGCCTCGCGCTAGATACAGCGCTGGTTACACATATAAAAATATTTGGATCTTGTAAAAATAATTTGCAGTGCTACACTGTAAGCGTATTGGATGCCTCTTAAATTTAAGTTGTGGCAGGTCACTGCAGATCCTAATTCTCCAACAAATTGCATTAACCCTGTAGGTCTGTGCAGTTCAGCAGTGCAGAAAGGGCTCCAGCAATCTATACAACTTGTACCTTCTACCATTGTACTGTGGGAGCACGCAGCTCATGGGCACCCATGCAAACATTTGTATGGGTGAGAACTTTAAATTCCTCATTATAATGTCAGAGGAAGAGAAGGTTTGATTAGGTTGCTGGTGAATCCTCAAAGCACTACTCATATTCTAGCACCATAACCACTATAATAAGTTATAGCAGTTATGATGCGTGGTGCCCTTTTAAAATATACATGTTTTTGTTCACTCATTATTATAGGTTTGCTTTAAAGTATTCTTATATTTGTTCTTTGATCTCGACCTAAGCGTATGAAACTGTATAGAAGCATACGTTGCTAAAATATTGACTTCTATAAATAAACTCTGGTATACATTTTTATGTGTGGAAAATACAATTAGTAAAGTACTACAGAAGACTATCAACAAAAATCCCCTAATAGTATCTCTGTTTTTCTCACCTCCAATTGACATATAAAAAAAACATTATTTTTACAATTGTTCCTGTTTGCGAAGATTGCTATGGTAATTTTAGATTTAAAGGCTCATATTGCCTGTGTGTTTTAGTAGGCGTTATACACTTCATGGCCAAAAAAAAAAGTCGCCACCTGGATTTAACTAAGCATATAGGTAAGAGCCTCCTATTGGATAGTTACTGCATGGGCGATTATCAACTATAACGTGTTAAAGGACCACTATAGTGCCAGGAAAACATACTCGTTTTCCTGGCACTATAGTGCCCTGAGGGTGCCCCCACCCTCAGGGTCCCCCTCCCGCCCGGCTCTGGAAGGGGGAAAGGGGTTAAAACTTACCTTTCTCCAGCGCTGAGCAGGGAGCTCTCTGCCTCCGATCCTCCTCCTCTCCTCCCCGTCGGCTGAATGCGCGCGCATTCAGCCGGTCGCATAGGAAAGCATTATCAATGCTTTCCTATGGACGCTTGCGTGCTCTCACTGTGATTTTCACAGTGAGAATTACGCAAGTGCCTCTAGCGGCTGTCAATGAGACAGCCGCTAGAGGCTTTGGGGGAAGGCTTAACCCATTCATAAACATAGCAGTTTCTCTGAAACTGCTATGTTTATAAAAGAATGGGTTAAGCCTAGCTGGACCTGGCACCCAGACCACTTCATTAAGCTAAAGTCGTCTGGGTGCCTAGAATGGTCCTTTAACTTTTTTCATGAAATGCATTTTTGTTTAAATTTATATTAATGGAACACAAACATGTATTCCTGATCTTATAGTGTTGAAACCACCATTTAGGTGACTTGCCCCCTTTTGACCCCCTTAAAAAATAACAAAAAAGTACCTTATTTAGAGTATAGTTTGGGTCTGCCGGCACTGGCCCCGCCCCAATCCGCCAAGGAGGTGGGGCCAAACGCTAGCTTGGCCAATCAACATCTCCTGATAGAGCTGCATTGAATGCAGAGCATGGAGATGCTAAACGTGTGCAGCACTGTTCCAGGAAGCACTTCCAGTGGCTACCTGAGGAGTGGCCACTGGATGTGTCCCTAGGGAGCAACTCCTTTTCCTTGTAGTTGTTCTGGTGACTATAGTGTCCCTTTAAAGATTCCATCATCATCCAATCCAGCCTAGTTGAAAGAAGTACTAACATTGCAAATGAGGAGGAGAAATGCAAACTTTGAGGGATATTTATCAAGGCAAAACCAGTACTATTTTGGTTGTAAGGTAACAGTTTTGTTTCCATGGTGACTGCCCCTTATTTAGCACTTTGCCCCAGAAAAGCACCTGGTTTTCTCCTGATAAACCGTCCCATTGTGTTTATTTCTCCCGTTGACTTGAGAAAGTGAAATGTTGCCACTCTGTTTGATGGTTGAATAAACCACCATTTTCTGCTGTGCTGAGTGCTGAGTTTTCATTCTTTTGATTGTATTGTGGTCTGTGGAGCAATGACCTTATCTGTGGCACCAAGGATCTCTGAAGTTTGAACTAGCACCCTTACAATCTGAAGTTTGATCTAGCATACTGCTATTGTTTTATAACAAAACAATGATTGACAGTTTGTGAAGATGGATGGGCCCAGTAGCAAGATAAAGAGGTGTGAATTTCTAAATTTATTTTTTCCCCATTTTTCCCAAATACTTATTTGTTACAAATATAGATAAGTAAACATAATATTGATAATACTGGTGACAGTGACAATTGCCATAGAAACCAATAAAATCCTAAGGAACATCCCATTTTTGACTGCCACCTGTTTTATCTGCAACTTTGAGCCAGTTTTAATAGCAACATGTTAATCTGTCGCTTTGGATCAGCCAGTAAGCCATGGTAACTGACCGCACTACAGCCGTCTCTGTATATATCTGTGTTGCAGCGTTGTAGGGGTTAAATGAAAGCAGTATATATCTACATTTTTAAAGGAAAAGCTACAGGCATGTTGCACACAACATATAAATGTTGTTTTGAACTTACTTTGCACATAGGACTAAACTTTTTTTTTACAACTTGAAGTTTATTCGTGTTTTGGTTTAGTCAATTGCATATCACAAAACAGTATGGGTGGGGTAAGGGGGTACAAAAGATAAAGGGAGGGGTGCAGGGTACAAGTTGCAGGTTACAGCGGTTGGTTTGTTAACTTTATTACACATTTTACACTTTTTACACTTTTTGATGCGCCTCCTAGCCCCTTCATGTTTTTGTTGTGAGTTCTACCCTTGTTTTGGTCTGTTTTAGTTTCGGGTACTAGAGTCTGTTTGGGTGAAGGTATTTTGTTGCGTACCTAGCCAGATTACTAATTGCCTCGTTTCCCGGTGGTGTTTGTGCCTTGTTATTAGGTTGCGGTTATCCTTTTTTTTTTTTCCCTTCCTCTCTCTTCCCCCCTCTACTGCGATTACATGTTGGTGCTCGATACTTCGCTATGTATCCTTTACTGTGTGGTGCGTTCAGCATTCCCTGGCATGGATGATTGGAAGGGGGACGGGGGGGACGAGGGGGCTGGTGTTGTATCTTGGTACTCGTTTGCGGGTTTTTTGCCTTTTTCCCACCTCTCGTGGGCTTCCCTTATACACGGGCGGGTTCCGAATTGTGTCGTTGCCATTAATTCATAAGACCAATTAAGGTCCATTTGCCTCATCAACTCGGCTATTGATGGTGTTGTGGTTTGTTTCCATAGCCTGGATATCAGCAAGTTCGCTGATATTAGTGTGTGGTATATAATGACTTTAAGATGTTTTGGGATGTTGGTTGGTAACATGAATAATAGGCATTCTTGTGGTGTGTCCACCCTTATATTATGCGTTATGTCGTTCAGGAGTGTGGACACCGCTTCCCAAAATGGGCTTATTTTGTCACAGGACCACCAGATGTGAAGCATTGTGCCTACCTCCCCCCCGCACCTCCAGCACTTGTTACTTGTGTGCGGCCATATTGCATGTAGTTTTGCGGGCACTAGGTACCATCGATACATAATTTTGCGCTGCAGTTCCAAATGCGATGCGCACGCTGTTAGTCCTCTGTGGACCGAGTAGGACCTCTCCCAGATTTCCCTTGGGAATGTCTGACCTATTTCCCTGTGCCAGTCTTTCTTGATCTGTTCTAGTGTATGCGTTTGTGTTAAGGTTAACTTATGGTATCCCCATGACATTGATTTCTTTAGTGGTGCTATTCCTACACATTGTTTTTCAAAAACCGTCATGGTTGCTTCATCTTCTATACCCGGTTGTTTGCTTAGTTTGCCTGTTATATATGATTTGAGCTGCAGGTAGGAGAATGTGATTGTGGTGGGCAGTGTGTATTCCGTTTGTATATCTGGTAGTGTTTTCAGTTTGCCTCTGTCAATGACCTGGTATACGTGGTGTATTCCCCCTCTCTTCCAGGTGTCTTCATAGGACTAAACTTTTAACCTATTAATTATGTAACGGACAGTCATATTAATAAATTATAGAGCCATCAGAACTTGGCATGGCATTACCTGTTATTAAACATGCGGAAGGGAGCACTAAATTTGCATTGAAGTATAATTAAGATATTATTTATAGTCTGGTATTTCTCAGCTGATAATATAACAGTTGATTGTTGTACAGATTCCTTTCTTCAATGATTCATCATTTAGCTACATACAAAACAGTGGTAAAGGAATACTCTGTTAGGAAAACATGTATTCCTGACAGAGTAATATTGGGTTAATTTTAATATCTGGCCGCCTGCTCAAAATATGTAAAGTTTTTTCACTAACTTAATTTCCTCAGCTCAACAATCTCATGGCGTTTGTAGTTTCTCTGCTGGTTGAGACCATCAATACTGATGATTTCAGCCAATCTAGTGCTTTGCCAGGCAGCACCAGTAATCATTTTTGCACTGATATTGAGCATTTGTGTCTCCATGGAAAGTGAGACTGTAGGTCCTTTAGTATCTGGAATAGCGCATCCAGGAAGCCCCTCTAGTGTCTGATTGCCGAATGACCACCATTCCAGGTGGCGTTAGGCAGCAAATAAACACTGCCTTTACTCAGAAAAGGTTGCATATATACTGCTCAGCCTGGAGGAACAGTCTCTTTGCCCCTGAACCACTGCATTTAGCTGTAGTGCTGGTACATAGTGTTCCTTTAAGGAAGTAATTTCATTCCAAATGAAATTCCTTGAAATTGCCCCTGCTGTAAAGGGGAATCTAAAGAACAGTATAAGCCATGTTCCAGGTTAAAAAAGTGCGTATTACGTGCGTGCAGCTAGACTGCTAACTATGTGCTAACTTTCCACGTCTAAGGTATGTTGCCCAGCTACTACTATTTTAACCCATATTCCATTATCATCAAGATAATGAATTGTATGTTTATTAAGAGTTATGCAGATCTATTAAGCTCTTATCAAATATCTGAAGGTCATTAAAGTTTGGAATAGGCACTTTAATGACAAAATTGTTGTGATGACAGTGGCCATAGTCAGCCCATTAGTCAGTTAACGTAGTTAGATGTTTTGTTTGGCTATAAGGAATAATTATCTGTGCCTTGGTGCTTGGCTATTATCAGTGTGTCACAATATGCCAGAAGCAACAAATCATTCAAGATCTTGTCATATCTTTCCTATTTCTTTATTTAACCTTCTGGACAAACCAGCCTTTCTACTTTTTTCATTTTACTGACTGCAATTGCATTTTTTTAAAGTGATCTTTGTCCTGTGTCTGAACCTTCATCCTGCTAGGACTTTCACTGCCACTGGTATGCTCCTGTGTACATTTGTGGCATTACTGTCATTCATCTGTCCGTGAGGCCCCTTCATGTAGCGGCAAAGAATATGTAAAATAAGTTCATCCAAGGACAGGCTGGGATTAATAGCTTGTTCTGCAGAAATATGCCTCACTCAAGAGCATCCCACATATTATTCATTGTGCCAGTACAGAGGGAACATTTCCATGAGTGTATAAGACAGTTCTTTAAAGGTGGCAGAGGTACAACATTCCAAGCATGTTCACATTGCAAAAAGGATCTTTCAATGTCAAACATCAATTTCTACCCGTCATAGACCTCATTGGTGAGATGGACTCTCTAAACACAGGGAAAGGTGAGAATTTGCAAGTGACAGCAGTGACAGTTGATGGCAAAATGTTTCTTCTTGGGTGAAACACATTTGATAGCTATGCAGGAGTTAGGAATCTCACCATGCATGTGTGAGAAGATCCCATGTATATAATACTAAATTATATATAACTAACTGAAGAACTATATATAATATAAATATAACATAACTATTGTTACAAATGATGAGAAACTTAGTATGGATTAATTTATGGATTCGGTGGCATTGCAGCTGCCATCAGCACCTTACTTTGTAACCTGCATATAATTAGTCCAAATTTGTTAAAATATTTATGAAAAGTTGTTGTTTTTTTTAATCACATAGAATCAGTCCCTTTAAAGCGGGATGTAATTTAGCAGTACCTGCCAAGCATCCTGCATTTGGAGGATATTCCCAGAAGGGGACCAGTGTCATGCTACCAGCCATTTTTTTTGCACCCCTCTTGTCTGGAAAATAATTATCCAAAAGTGCATTGAACAGTCATGATGATTTCTAGGGTAGAGGGCAAGTGTCTGTTGGTTGAAAGGAAATTGATAAAAAATATATAAAATTGTGCAGTGAAACTCGGTTCTGTTGCGTGGTGATCAACTTTATTTGAAAAAGCAGGGTACCCCTCCCTCCTAATCCAATAAATGTAAAATAGTCTTGCATGAGAGTACAAAATAGGATCTATGAACGGTCACATGATTTTGTACATGCAGATACCAATGTCATCACAAGACTGGGAATGCAGACTAGCAATGTCATCGGTTTCTGCTGCACATCGAATAAAAGGGGAACCTAGTACTGCCCATCGAGGATTGGATATATGTGGCTGTCAAAGCTACTTGAAGCTCCACCCTTTGCCATATCTTTCCCAAAACCACGTTTTCTGTAAGGCAAAATAGTCCCTAGGCTTTTCCTCAGGTAAATTCTAATCATTAAAGCGCACTGTCCCTTTTGAGTTTTCCATATAAATCAATGACTGCGTTAAAATGTTCATGTCTTTGATTTCTACAGAAAACTCAAAACGGACTGTAATATAAGAATTACACCCTGTTCCAAATTATTATGCAAATTCTATTTAAGTGTCACAAAGATTACATTTTTTTTATTTTCAGTTTAAATCATGGATGGCATTGTGCCTCAGGGCTCTTTTGATCACTGAAAACAATCTCGGACACCTGTGAGCCCAATTTAAGGAAAAACTACTATAGGAGGGTGTTCCACATTATTAAGCAGAGCACCATTTTCATGCAATATGGGGAGGAAAAAGGATCTCTCTGCTGCCGAAAAGAGGGAAATAGTTCAATCCCTTGGACGAGGTATGAAAACATTAGATATTTCACGAAAACTTAAGCATGATCATCGCACTATTAAGAGATTTGTGGCTGATTCAGAGCACAGATGGTTTTGCGCAGATAAAGGCACATTGAGGAAGATTTCTGCCAGATCCATTCATCGGATCAAGAGAGCAGCTTCTAAAATACCATTACATAGCAGCAAACCGATATTTGAAGCTGCTGGTGCCTATGGAGTCCCACTGACATCAAGGTGTAGAGTCCTCCAGAGTCTTGCAACTGTGCATAAACCTTCTATTCGGCCACAACTAACCAGTGCTCACAAGCAGAAACTGCTGCATTGGCAGAAAAATACATGAAGACTAATTTTCAAACAGTCCTGTTCACTGATGAGTGCCGTGCAACCCAGGATGGTCCAGATGGATGGAGTAGTGGATGGTTGGTGGACGGCCATCCTGTTCCAACAAGGCTGCGACGTCAGCAAGGCGGTGGTGGGTCATGATTTGTGCCGGAATCATGGGAAGAGAGCTGGTCGGCCCCTTTAGAGTCCCTGAAGGTGTAAAGATGTCCTCTGCAAAGTATGTGGAGTTTCTGACTGACCACTTTCTTCCCTGGTACAGAAAGAAGAACTATGCTTTCCGTAATAAAATCATCTTCATGCATGACAATGCACCATCTCATGCTGCAAAGAATACCTCTGCATCAATGGCTGCTATGGGGATAAAAGGAGAGAAAGTCATGGTGTGGCCTCCATCCTCACCTGACCTCAATCCTATTGAGAACCTTTGGAGTATCCTCAAGCAAAAGATCTATGAGGGTGGGAGGCAGTTTACATCCAAACAGCAGCTCTGGGAGGCTATTTTGACATCTTGCAAACAAATTCAAGCAGAAACTGTCCAAAAACTCACAAGTTAAATGGATGCAAGACTTGTGAAGCTGCTATCAAATAAGGGGCCCTATGTTAAAATGTAATGTGACCTGTTAAAATGTTTATAAAGTTCAGATGTTGTTATGAGTTTGATTGAAATAGCTTTTGATTTCAGTAAATATGCTGCAAACACAACAAATTCCAATTTTCAGTTTTTTACAACCTATAAAGTGTTTTGAAACTTACTGTGCGTAATAATTTGGAACAGTACATTGTAAGTTGTTTTTTTTTTCACATCAGAATATGGTATTCGTTATTTCATTTCTTAAGTAATCGTAAATGAAGTTGTCAAATACCAATCATATATCATTATATGTTTTATTCAATTTCTCTTTAACTCTCTATCCTTATCCGCTTTATTTCTGTTTCATTCTTTTATCTTAAGACTATTACAATTTTATTAAACAATCAAATACATAACAAACTAACTAACAAACATTTACTCGGTTCTCGGTGCAAGAAAAATAAATAAATAATAAGGTCCCTTATTAGGCTCGAGGGAGGGGGCTCAAACGTTTCCCTAAACAGATGTAAGCCATGCGGTTAGATAAAAAAAAAAAAAAAATATATATATATATATACAGAGCAAATCCACTATGAAAAGAACGGATAGTGAGGGAAACTTCCTTATTCAGGGTCCAATTTTTTAATCCATTTATCCCTGTATGTGTAGTAATGGCCCTTATTTGGTACCAAATTAGTAATGGCCCTTTCCATTTTCCATTGAATAATTCTTTGAGCATGGATCTTAGACCTCTGTCTACCTTAGGGGATTTCCAATTCCTGGCTATTGAGGTTTACACCGCCATTAGGATGTGAAAAATAATAGGTCTAAATTCTTTATTGATACCTGTCATATCCATATGTAATAGGGCCATAATTGGGGTCAGCTCAACCCTTATTTCAAATAAAACTGATAAATATTGGTTTAACATATCCCATAAAGGTCTAATATTTGGACAATCCCACCAAATATGTTTGAAGTCTGCAGTTAGTTCATTGCATCTCCAACAATTTGGTGGGGCTGTAGGATACATTATTGCTATTTTGTAGGGGGTATTATACCATCTGTTTAGTATTTTATAATGAGTTTCGTGTATATTTAGACAATGACCAACTTTATATATCGTATTAAGAGAGTTATTCCATTCTTTCATAGTTATATCCTTTGCTAGATCTTGATTCCATTTAATAATTGCTGAGGGAATTGAGTCTTGTAAATAATTTTTTGGCATTTTTTTGCCAAGTGGGTATAGTCTGACTGCTCGTATAAGTCTGAGAGAAGCTTAACTGATGGATCTAGAGGGTTAGATCTTAAAAATATATTTAAAAAGGATTTTACCCTAATATAAATAAACCAATCATTAGAAGGTATATTATATTCAGTTTGGAGTTGTTCGTAAGATTTTACTCTATTTCCTGTCATAAGATTAGATATCGTTTTTATACCTCATCTGGTCCAGATTTCTAAATTTATATCTGTCATTATATCTGCCAGTATACTTAAGTTTATGCCGGGGATTATCTTCTTTTTTAGCCCAATTTTTTTTTTTTTAAATAGAGACCAGGTGGGAAAAATTTGTTGGACTGTCATTGATTTTGAATTTTTAATACAATTATTTGTTTCTTTATCCATTGACCATAGGAGAGTACTATAGTCCCTGTCTCCCGAGGTCAGAATCTGTTCACTTTTGTACCAATATTCATTTACAGAGTCTTCCTTATTTATCACTAAGACATTCGCTAATATTTTAGCTTGTGCAATGTCTTGTATAATTGGAATACTCATACCTCCTTCATCTTTTTTCCTAGACATATCTTTTTTAATTCTGGGTTTCTTGCATGCCCAGATAAATTTAGTAAATAATGTTTGAATTAATTCTAACCAACTGTCTGGGATCTTAATAGGAATCATCAATATACGAGAATTTTGGTACAATATATGCTTTTAATGTATTTATTTTCCGTAACCAGGAGATTTCCAGAGTTTTCCATTTCTTTAAGTTAAGATTTGTTTCTTTAACCCCTTAAGGACCAAACTTCTGGAATAAAAGGGAATCATGACATGTCACACATGTCATGTGTCCTTAAGGGGTTAATTAAGGGAAGAATATTATTCTCTAACCATTTCTTTGGATTTTTGGAAATTATTATACCCAAATAATTAAAATAACTTTTTTCTATACTATCAATTTTATTTTGGGATGTATTTAAATATAGCGCTGTAGATTTCTCGTTATTTATCTTATAATTAGAGAAGTTGCTATAATTTCTGATAGTATCAACCACATGGTCAATGGAGTACTCAGGTTTCTGGATAGTTATCAGTACATCATCAGCATATAACTTGATTTTTTGGTTATTACCTTCTCCAAATCCTTTAATTCCATGATTAGATCTTATATCTACTGCCAGGGGTTCAATTGATAATATATACAGTAATGGTGATAAGGGACATCCCTGGCGTGTACCATTGGAAATTCCAAACCATTTTGACTTAATTCCAGGCCCCACGGTTCTACCTTGGGGATCACTGTATAGGGCCATTATTGCACTAAGTATCTCACCCAAGAACCCGAATGATACTAGGGACTCTCTGACAAAAGCCCAGCTGACCCTGTCTGCATCCAATGACAGGGTCAGCATGGGTATACACTCCTCTCTAGCTTGTTCCAGCATCCCTATCATATTTCTTATATGGTTAGTAGAGAGTTGTCCCGGGATAAATCCCACCTGTTCTCTATGTATTATATGGGTGACTACTCATTTGACTCTATCAGCCAATATTCCCGCAGATACCTTGATGTCTGTATTTAAGAAAGAGATCGTCCGATAGCTCTCTACATTCTCTGGGTTCTTACCAGGTTTTAATATTGGGGCAATATTGCCTTTGAGCATTTCCTGTGGGATTTTGTTTTTTAATATAAATTCATTAAAAGTAGTCTCTAAATATGGGGATATTTCTTTTTTAAGTAATCTATAGAAGATCCCTGTAAATCCATCTGGACCTGGCGCTTTATTTGGCTTCAAAGTCTCTATACGAGTGTATATTTCTTGTAAAGATATTGGGGCATTCAATTTTTTCAATTGGGAATCTGAGATCTTTGGTAAAATCTTATCTTTAAAATAGTCTTCTGGGTCAGATTGATTGTGCAGTAAATTATATAATGAATGGTAGTAATCATTGAAGGCCCTTCTTATTCTCTCTGGGGATAAGCAGGTCTCACCTTTATATGTAATTTTAGAGATTTTTTTTGTTTAATTTCTTTCTTGAGTCTGTTGGTTAATAATCTATCTGCTCTGTGTTTTACTAACCTTCATTATTAATAATTCATTAATCCTATTTTGTAGCATAGAAATTCTATTCGACCGCTGCATTGTAAGTTTTTTATGTTTAAAAAAAATACTGTTATCATTAAGAGGTTTGTTCAATAAAATTTGAATTGTACTCTTAATAGTTGATAACATGAGAATTATGCTGAATGTTATTTACATCAATTATTTAGGTAAATGAGAAAAATATCATTTGCATAATAATTTGGAACAGGGTGTATATGAATATTGCTTAAGGGCAACCCTGTTATAGTGTATAAATAGGTAAATGAGGGACAATGTAACACATTCCTTGTTTTGCGTTCCTAATATTTCTTCTTATAATTGTATCTGAATTATATTATGAAATCGCTAAACTGGTTGGAAAGGTAGTTGATACCTGGAATTAATAAACTCTAGTAAAGCTATTAAACAGGTTGCCAGTGTTAGCTCATACATAGGCACTTTATCTCTTGGGAGCTTTATTTTCACATCCATAAAATTAGCAGAAAATTGATTAGACATACACCATGGATAACATAAGCTCCAATTCTTTTTTTTGGTGTTTTAGATTAGTCTATTACACAATCTTTGTTACTGACTTTGTAGTGTTAGTTACTTACTGTTTCTAAAGTGCAGTTCAGTGAGTGTGCAATTAATATCACACGGTAAATGAACCAGTCTGCTGTTAATTATTTTATTTGTAAACATTGATCACAACATTAAAACCACTGACTGGTAAAGTGAATAACATTTATTATACTTTTACAATGTCAAGAGGTGAGATATTTGAGGCAGCAAGTGAACAGTCAGTTCTTGAATTTCATGTGTTGGAGGAAAAATGGGCAAGTGGAAAGATCTGAGTGACTTTGACAATGGCTAAATAGTGCTGACTAGACGACTGGGTCAGAGTATCTACAAAATGGGACGACTTGTGGGGTGTTCCTGGTATGCATATCGCAGTAACAGAAATTGTGCAAGGAAAGACAACTGGTAAACTGGCATCAGGGTCATTGGTGCCCAAGGCTCAATGATGCACTTGGGGAGCAAATGATAAATTGTCTGGTCCGTTAACACAGATGAGCTATTGTAGTTCGAATTGGTGAAAAACTTAATGCAGGCCATGATTAAAAGGTGTCAGAACTCAGAGTGCTTTGCAGTTTGCTTTGTATGGGACTGGGTAGACAAAGAAAGAAGTATGAACTATGGGAAGATGGCAGGCCCGCAGAGGCATTGTTCTGGTGGAAAGCCTTGCGTCCTGGTATTCACGTCGATGTTACTTTTTTTAAGAAATGGCAGTGTCTTACATTGTCAGGCAAGAGACAAGGTCTCTTGCACCAAAGCGACTACATTAAGATGTATTGGTTTTGTTGCTTATAGTGTATTTTTAATGCATATTTTATGAAATAGAAAAAATTGCCCATGTCTATGCTTTAAATACATGGTCTCACAATTCGCGTATGAAATAATGGGCACACCATGAAAAAATTTACAACAATACACACAAACATAAACTTATGTCTGTGGTTCATGTGCTAAAATAGATGTCATGGATGACAACCTCATCAGACAGAAGTAGACAATTCATAGTCTTCTAGTAAGAGATAAATTGTGCAAATATTACAAGCACGAACTTGAGCAGTGTTTCTTATCAGAATGGTACCTGTGTTTGTGCTTGGCATGTGTGAATAGCTCCCCCATGCATTGACAGTAGGTAACACTGTAACTTATTCTGATGCCTTTCAATCAAAATCGGTGAGGTAAGGGAGGAGTAAACGTAAAACATGATTTTTATTATTTTTTTTTTACTATTCTGCATTGTATATTTTCCATGTATATAAATAGTGATTATAGTTTGTTTTTTTCCTTTTTCTCTCCATATTCTCAATAACTGTAACAGGACCTATAACCGCAGCTATAAGCCTATTCCAACCACTTAACCCATTGCCGCCTGAATCCATCTTGGGTTACAGAGTGCACACACTAGGTCAACATGTCCCTGTACCTCCTCCACTGGCATGACTGTGTCCATCTGGAGAACACTGTGCACAGGCCAAGTCACAAAACTAAGAATGAGACTGTCGGTAAATTGGCGAATTGGTGGCAACGGCACAGCTGCTGTAAGCTTATTCACTGTTCCACTCGTCCTTTGATGAATGGAATTACTGCCTGGGGATGAACTATATACCACATAATCCCTTGCTGTAAAGGAGTTCATGGGATACAGCAGCCCGTGGGTGTACTTGCTTTTACTTCATTTCTACTTGCTGTGTGGACATTGACTCTCCAAATGGTGCCTTCCTACGTGTTCACTGCTTGCAATAAATTTGACATTTTACAAAAATACGAATCCTTTGCAGATATTTGGGTCAGTGGTTCTTAACCCTTGAGTCCAGACTGGGGTTCCCTGAGTGATTTTTAATGGGTCTTCATTACTTGGAACTTCTTCATCTATTCATCGTGCCCCAGGAAAACTTACATCAATAGATTACATTTTGAAACAAGCCTTCTAGGTGCCATTTAAACCTTTGACATGGACAAGAGTCTAACAAATGGTGTTTTGCAAAGTTAATTTAGTAGACATTATATTGCATATGGGCAATGGGTCACTGAGCTAATTTTACAATGGAAGAGTGCATCGCCAACACAATTCAACATGCGCTGTTTGAAACAATGTCAAAAAAGGTTAAGAACTACCTCAAAAAGTAATACTTTAAAACATTCATTCTTAAATTTCAGTCAAATTAATTATTTCCTGGGAAAGTTGCAAGAAACTTAAAAAACAGCTTTTAAAAAAAGTGAACGATACCGCAAGACACCAAACACTTCCGCAATGTAACACGCTTATGTATACCGTCTACGACTTCAGCAGCTTTTATGGCACATTATGCTACATAGTAACTCAGCAGACATGGTTTTCAGTGTGACAAGTCAAGTGCCTGTTCAGAATCTTTTGTCACATTGTAACTACTTGAAGTGTCATGTTCAAGAACAGAGCGTCTATAAAGCAGATTAGTGATGGCTCCCATGTGTATTGTTTGAGGTTTTCTGAATCAGCAGGATGGGCTCACAGAGAGATTGTATACACCACTCACTCATTCAGACACCAGGCAGTTACTTCATCATCCACATCTTTAACTTTAAAATCAAGTGTCTCCAGCTTTTTATTGTTTAATACCTTAAATCCAACTCAATCTACTTAAGCTTTTTGGCTAATGCCACTCAGTTTAAGGATACATGGGTTTTTAAAGAAATATATACAATATGGGCAAAGTTATTGAAGCATTGGACAGGTGACATGCGTTTGCATGTTTATATTAAAGGAATAATCTTTAAGTCTTCACTCAGGTTGTGCCTGTCACTGTCTCCCTGTTTATATTGTGTTATAATTGCAGGCATTTTAAAAAATCACTGTAACTATAAACCTAGGCTTAATGAAGCGGTTTTGGTGTATGGATCATGCCCCTGCAGTCTCAGTGATCAATTATCCGTTTTTTTATGAGTTAAATCACTTTGTTTATACAGCCCTGGTCACACCTCCCTGCATGTAACTTGCACAGCCTTCCTAAACACTTCCTGTTAAGAGAAATCTAATATTTAAACTTCCTTTATTGTACAGCCGGTTTAATTTAGACTTTATCTCCTGCTCTGTTAATAGAATTCTAGACCTTGCAGGAGCCTCCTGTGTATAATTAAAGTTCCTTTTACAGAGCAGGAGATAAAAACTTCTAAAGTAAGTTAAAGTCTAATTGAAAATGAAACCATTTTTTTTTCATGCATGGTTGTGAGTCACAGCCAGTGGAGGTGTGGCTAGGGCTGCATGGACAGAAACATACGTGATTTAACTCCTATATGGCAGAGAATTGAGCAGTGAGACTGCAGGGGCATAATCTATTCTCAAAAACTGCTTAATTAACCTGCCTATAGTATCCCTTTAATTCTGCTTAAATATATATTTGTACTGTTTGAAGAGGATGTACAACAGGAGCTATAGTTAAGCCATTAGCTTGTCCTCATTCTACAGTTGAACTCTGGCAGTTGTACACTTGCCAGAAAATCTTGCTATGCAAAGATTTATAAGGTAATCGCAGTGCTACCTTAGAAGATTATGGGATTGTGGAGATTGGCGGAGGACACAGAATGCAGAGCTACAAAACGTAGATATTCACAGCTAATTTTGGAACTTCAACTGAGAATATACATGTTGTTTGTTTTTACAACTATTACAGCACATTTTCAGTAAAATACTTTTAAAAAAGACCTGATACCAAAGTGAATTGTTTATACAGTTGAAAAGTAAAATGTATAGACCTAGACTGTTATTGGTATAATATGTAATGCATACTTATATTGGTGAGATTACTGTATGGGTGGTAAAAGATAACTATTTCTATCCATGGTATATGTTTACCTATTAAAATAGTTAATGTCTCACTTGGAATGGCTTTTTGCATTTATTCATCCTATCTGTGCTCACCTTTTTGATTATTTGGTTAAAGGGACACTGTAGTCACCAGAACAACTACAGCTTATAGTATTTGTTCTGGTGAATATAAACAGTCCTTTCAGAATTTTTGCAGTAAATTACTGTTCTGTTCAGAGAAAATGCAATGTTTAAATTGCAGCCTAGGGATAACTCCAATGGCAACTCCTTAGATAGCTACTTTAGGTGCTTCCTGGGGCAGTGCTACACAGTGTGCAGCACCGACATTCAGTGTCTCTACCCTCTGCATGGAGACACTAAACTGTTTTCTCATAGAGATGCATTGATTCAATGTATCTCTATGAGAAGATGCTGACTGGCCAGGGCTGTGTTTGATTTGTGCTGGCTCTGCCCCTGATCTGCCTACTTGACATTCTCAGCCAATCCAATGCTTTCCTATGGGATTGTCTGAGAATATCACTTTTGATGATGTCAGCCAGAGAGGCAAATCAGGGACAGAGCCAGCACCAGCAGACTGGAATAAAGGTAAGATTTTACTATATTTAGGGTGGCAAGGGATGGTGGTATCAACACTATAGGGTCAGGAATACATGTTTGTGTTCCTGACCCTATTATGTTCCTTTAAATGTTCATTTGGTGTTCGGAGGCTGTCTTTTTTGTTTGGGCATGACTTTGTACACAATTTAAATATTATATGGTTTTCTAAGAAATATACATACTTTTGACTGCATTTTTACCTGCTACAACCTTTTCTGAAAAGTTATTCTCATTTTAAAAATAAATAAATAAAATACATAAATAGAAAGTAGCATGACTTCCATTTAGAATATAACACATTTTATTAGTACATGAACATTGAATCAAATTATATAAATTTAAACAGATTCTTTATTTGTTCAATCTTTACAAACCTGTTTTGAGAAGGAAGTATTAGTGACACAGCTTCCTGAAAATACCATGGGATTAAAACAAAATAAAAATACTATTAATGGCCACAAATAGTAAGTACAGTTTAACCAAGTATCTGTACTAAAAAAATCAACTCTCCATTAACCATGGCAAGTAAAAATGCATCATCATCTTTTTGTTAAAGGAACACCATAGTGTTAGGAATACAAATATGTATATGTAAGGGTTAAAAAGGTGAGTTTATTTCCATTTTCTCCCTCACAGAGCTGGCCCTTGGGTGCCACTCCACCTTTTTGGCTGAGATCATTGAGAGGAAAGCATTGGGAGGCTTGAGCGCATGTGTAGTACCCTGATGCGCTACGCCAATCAAATGTGATTTATGAGACCATCTGACTTAAATTGTGGAGTTTTGAAGTGCTTCTAGTGGCTGTCAGTATGTAGGCTAACCCTGCAATGAAATAATTGCTGTTAAAACGATAGGGGGACATGGCATCCAGACCACTTAATTGAGATAAAGTGGACTGGGGGTATATAGTGTTTCTTTAAAGCATCATGGATGCATTAAATAGCTAGTTCCATGGCAACATGAAACTATTTTTATTCAGTAACCTCCCTCATCAAGTAAAAGAATATTTACTAGATAGTGTACCACTTACGTGAGATCTGAGAGAGAGAAAAAAAACCAACAAAGTGACACAACCCAATTTCTGTTCCCAATCCACTAATATGTATGTATTTTCTCTAGCTACTCCCAATAAGTATCTGTTAAAAATAAATACATATGTCTTGCTTGTTTTCGTTCTTCAGTAACAGAAACATGGCCAAACAGAAGTTTATAAAAAAAATAATTAAAAATTCACCCTCCAAAAAACAAAATAATAATTCAAACCCATTTTCGATGTACCTTGTAGTATGGGATATTATTTATGTTCAATTTAGTATTTTTTATTTTAAATTCCACACATATTTAAGGTATGCTAAATAATTATAATTTGAGGGAGGAAAATATTTTATACATACATTAAACGTAAAATGTGATATAAATATATAGAAACATAGAAACATAGAATGTGACGGCAGATAAGAACCATTCGGCCCATCTAGTCTTCCCAATTTTCTAAATACTTTCATTAGTCCCTAGTCTTATCTTATAGTTAGGATAGCCTTATGCCTATCCCACGCATGCTTAAACTCCTTTACTGTGTTAACCTCTACCACTTCAGCTGGAAGGCTATTCCATGCATCCACTACCCTCTCAGTAAAGTAATACTTCCTGATATTATTTTTAAACCTTTGTCCCTCTAATTTAAGACTATGTCCTCTTGTTGTGGTAGTTTTTCTTCTTTTAAATATAGTCTCCTCCTTTACTGTGTTGATTCCCTTTATATATTTAAATGTTTCTATCATATCCCCCCTGTCTCGTCTTTCCTCCAAGCTATACATGTTAAGATCCTTTAACCTTTCCTGGTAAGTTTTATCCCGCAATCCATGAACCAGTTTAGTAGCCCTTCTCTGAACCCTCTCTAAGGTATCAATATCCTTCTGAAGATACGGTCTCCAGTACTGTGTACAATACTCCAAGTGAGGTCTCACCAGTGTTCTGTACAATGGCATGAGCACTTCCCTCTTTCTACTGCTAATACCTCTCCCTATACAACCAAGCATTCTGCTAGCATTTCCTGCTGCTCTATTACATTGTCTGCCTACCTTTAAGTCATCAGAAATAATCACCCCTAAATCCCTTTCCTCATATATAATATGTATAGTTTTTGCCAGATTATTATGTGATCATCCCTTCACTTCTGCCAAATGCGAGCGTAGTAGTGTTTCTCATGAAAAACAGATATGTGACCTGGTTAGATCTGAGGGTCTTTTTAGTAAAACACGAGAAGTATGGGAAAATCTAGAAGCAGTTTACTTTTTATGGCAAGCCTTTTCAAAGACATGTTTTTGTGTTTTGTTTGTCTTCTAGTACTTTAGCAACACTACAAGTACTGTAGTCAAATGTTCCCTTTCTGAAACTGTCCTTTTTGTGTATTTTTTCAAATTGTGTAACAAGGGATTACATATGTTTTTCCTTCTTATTTTGTGAAGGAAAATGAGAATAAAGCAAAACAAAAAGTAAATTTTTCTGTATTTTTTTTTTTATCCAGGTATATTTTAGATAGTAAAATAGAAAACCTAATCAAAGTTATTTACTAAAGGCAGAATAAAAAGTGAATTTTATATTTAAAACCATAGTGTCTGGAGTGAAAGCATTGCAGTCTTAGAAATATTTCCAGGTTGGCTATTTAGGCATCAAATTTTTTTAATTTACTGCGAATTCTTACCATAGCAAATAACCCTTAAATTCTGGAAACTTTTGTTTGTATGATTTTGAAAAAGTATTGGTTCATGCACGGTTTGCTCTACCTTATCATAAAGTAACAATTTTCTTTCTGGGCGGTGTATTTTTGCACATTTAAGCAAAAAATAATTTATTTTAAAGAGTATTTTTTTTTTTTGAAAAAAGAGACAACACCCTCACCCACCCAAAAACACAACAATAAAATAATATGTTTTTTGTGATCTCTGAAAGAAAAAATAAACAAACAAAAAAAAAACAACCTAAAAATTCTGTTTTAATGAAGACACAAGAAATTCCTAAATTAACTTTGACACACTTGTGACAATGCTTGGAAGAGGCTCGGCAGCTACAGGGTTAATTAATTGACCTGCCTGGTGCTGCTAAGATATCAACTGCCAAAACTCCAGGCTAGCTATTATTAATTTGTGTTAAGAAGATAAGCTAAACAAATATGATAACAATCAGTGTAAAGCTGGCCAGTCTTTATGTGATCTATGAAAGTGTAAAGAAATTTAAATTCACTTTAAGATATAGCTTTCCTATAAGATGGTCAATCACTGGGTTTATCACTAAGCAGGGAATTGCCACAATTTCACTGGCAATATTGGTACAGTTCTCCAGACTTCAGCTATTTTGCATTGGTATTTGCTATTCTGCAGTCAATTACTAAGAATGAGTTGTTTAGTAAATAGCCCTTTTTCTTGCTCTGCGATATATTACTGGCCTCTATGGCAGGGACAGGGTTAATGCGAATGCCTCTGGTGCTAACATTCTGTCCTCACGCCTCTGATTAATGCTTCATGTCAATTATTTACAGACCCAGTCTTGCTGTGGAAGTTCCCCGAGGATTTCTCCGACCAGGTTGGTAACATCACAGAGAGGTTTGATTTTGTTAACATTAAAATCCCAGCATGGAACGGTGAATGTAATGATGTGTACAGCCTGCAGCTTCTGCCAGGATCCCTGGAGTGCCGCCACGAATTGGGTGTTGCACGTACATAATGATATATATATGAGTGTGCACAGAATACACAGTGCGATACATAGATATAAACAGTTATTTGTAAATACACACACACAAACACACATTTACTGACCCATAGAGACTTTGGAGAAAAACTCACACTGGTTTATAAAAGACACAATTTTATTGTAAAAAAATGCCATAAAAATATTGCTACAGCTGTTTATAACTATTACTACATGCTCTATTCAGTTTTTGCGTTATCAGCAATTTTTGCAAGTTGTTTTATTTTCTCCAAAAGAAAAATATCAAATATTGTACAACAATAGTGTGTGCGCATGCGAGTGTGTGCATCTATTATACATCTTGTGTATGTGCACAAGTCTGTCTGTCAGTGTCAGTTGGTCTGTGGCATTTGTTTGCTGTGCCAGTGTTTTACTGTCTGAGCTCACCGGTGGTTACATTTGGTAGGAGTGAGATAGGGAACATGCAATCTCTGGAATGCTAGTTAATAGGGACAGAAAATAATCCAATAAAATAAATGCTTTGAAATAATGCAAAAAAATATGTATTATAAAAAAAAAAAAATGCAGAGCAGTGTAGAATGTGTTATGGTTATACAGTATATCAGAATCCTAGAATGTTTCCTAAACCTTGGATCTTGTGATGTTGCAACTGACAGATCATGTTTTAAAATCCTGTTCGGCTTGGTGACTCACTTGACTGACATGCAGAGCTGCACTGGAACATACAGGTCACAGGTTGCCTGAAAGTGTTGAGAGTTACACTCCCATGCAGCAGCTGTTATCCAGTTTCTCTCCCAAAAGTGATGTGCTGGAGAGGGGCTGAGTAGACAATGGCAGTTTGAATTTGTCTGCTCAGCTCCTCTCCTTTCATATCATTAGCTAGGTAGTGGCTTAAAGGACCACTATAGTGCCAGGAAAACATACTCGTTTTCCTGACACTATAGTGCCCTGAGGGTGCCCCCACCCTCAGGGTCCCCCTCCCACCGGGCTCTGGGGAGAGGAAGGGGTTAAACTTACCTCTTTCTCCAGCGCCGGGCGGGGAGCTCTCCTCCTCCTCTCCGCCTCTTCTCCTCCTCTTTGGCTGAATGCGCATGCGCGGCAGGAGCTGCGCGCGCATTCAGCCAGTCTCATAGGAAAGCATTCATAATGCTTTCCTATGGACGCTTGCGTCTTCTCACTGTGATTTTTCACAGTGAGAAGCACGCAAACGCCTCTAGCGGCTGTCAATGAGACAGCCACTAGAGGCTTTAGAGGCTGGATTAACCTATTTATAAACATAGCAGTTTCTCTGAAAAAAAAAGGGTTAACCCTAGCTGGACCAGGCACCCAGACCACTTCATTAAGCTGAAGTGGTCTGGGTGCCTATAGTGGTCATTTAATTAAGGATAGCAGATGCTATGTCGGAGTATAACTCCCATCAAGGGGACATGTATGCCCCATTCTACCGTAAAGTTGAACAAAATCTAGTCCTCACTCTAGCTAAAATATTATGTTATCTGAAAACACACAGCTTAATGCTTCCATTGTATGAAATCTGCTTGCGCCATCCTTCATTATGTATTCTTCATGAGGATCCTTTGTAACGCTCAAACACCTTCATTGCAGCCTTGATTTCAAACTTCAAGAGGGCAGATGATACACTTTAGGTTCACAGTCAATAATGACCTGTCAGAACCATAGATATGATGAACGATACATTACATTACCGCAGGCACAGGACAAATTAAATGGTTTATTTCTGGTAAGGAAACACGTGGGAACAAAATCATTATATTCTGAACGGGCTTGTGTTCCTAAATAGGCAGTTGCAGAGGAAACTGAACAGTACCTGGCTTCTGATATGGAGCAGGATACACTGAAGGTGGATTTAAAGACTTGTTAACTAGCGCTTGTATTTGTTTCTGATGGGATGATTTGGCAATCTGTGACCCTCCATCAATTTCTGAATACAGCTCATATTTCCTCAAGCCATCCTTATATATCTCACTGCCTCAAAATATAGCAAAAGCTTATATATAGAGAGAGTTACAACTATTTATACAGATCCAAAATATCTGTCCTTGTTTAATGGAAGATATCACAAGGGATCTTTGGGGGAGAAATAGACACCAAGAAAATATAATTTTGAAAATATAATATAATTTTAAACCTACCGGCTCTTAGTGGGCCTGATTTGTTTAAAGATGAAAGATATAATTGGAAAAAACAGTCATTGAGACCCTGAGCAGTGGCCAAAAGGAACCCAGAATAGGGTTTATATTTGTGGCCATAGGCAACATGAATATAATAAGATTCATATTGCTTAGACTCCTTTTCCTTATTCCAGACAGGCTTTTGAGCAAATATGGCCTTGGTTTTAATATTTGTGTACACTATTTTTTATTGGTTTAATATTCTGAAAAATATTAAAATTTTGTAATATTTAGATTTATTTATATATTGATGTATGTTTTTATATATATGGTTTCTTTTTTTTCATGTTACTATGCTGAAAAAAAGTTTTAATCATTTGGAAAGCTAATCCAACACAATTTCAATCAAGACCTACATGTAGCACCATGTGGTTTTAAAACAGGCCACTTCCATTAGTATTTTTAGCTTACAAATCCACAAAATAATAAATGCTGTAACTTTCTAAACCTCTGCATTTCTAAGGTTACAGCAGTCCAGTGTTTATAGAAGCATGTTGTTGTCAATATGTCACCAAGCCACTATAGCAGATCATCCCCCTTCTATAGGTAAAGGTGCACCCGGGTCCACCGAGCTCCCAGTGTCTGTCAGTCCTTTGCAGACATAGCAATAACTATTTAAGTATTTTATTATTTTTGCACTTTCTTTTGACTTTTATATTGTAATTGGGTGCAGTCATACCTAAAACTACCTTGCTGCCTTTCAACAGGCCTGGTTTTGGGTTACGGGAGATTTGAGGTTTTTCTCAAACATCTGTAAAACTGTTTAACAAATATCTAAGTGGCTGCAGCCATCGTCTCCTTGCACCACAGACACTACAGATAAGCAATATTGGTTATGATGCTGAATGTCCCTTCGATGATATTCGCTCTGCATTAAAGGAACACTATAGTCACCTAAATTACTTTAGCTAAATAAAGCAGTTTTAGTGTATAGATCATTCCCCTGCAATTTCACTGCTCAATTCACTGTAATTTAGGAGTTAAATCACTTCGTTTCTGTTTATGCAGCCCACACCTCCCCTGGCTATGATTGACATAGCCTGCATGAAAAAAAAACTGGTTTCACTTTCAAACAGATGTAATTTACCTTAAATAATTGTATCTCAATCTCTAAATTGAACTTTAATCACATACAGGAGGCTCTTGCAGGGTCTAACAAGCTATTAACATAGCAGGGGATAAGAAAATCTTAATTAAACAGAACTTGAAATAAAGAAAGCCTAGATAGGACTCTCTTTACAGGAAGTGTTTATGGAAGGCTGTGCAAGTCACATGGAGGGAGGTGTGACTAGAGTTCATAAACAAAGGGATTTAACTCCTAGATGGCAGAGGATTGAGCAGTGAGGCTGCAGGGGCATGTTCTATACACCAAAACTGATTCATTAAGCTAAAGTTGTTCAGGTGACTATAGTGTCCCTTTAAATCTAGCTCAATTAACGTGACATCTATACTGCAGACATCAATTCTACAACTATAGTTACAGTTGACACCTACATGTCTTATGGAAGGAAACTAAGGGACTTCTTCCCCAGGCTGTGAATTATGGTTAGGTAAGTGAATTGGTGACAGAGTTGCTAACTGAAAATACCTAAGTTGGACACCAACTCTGCAATTTTGTCTTAAATATGCCTGTGCTTTGATGTCAACTCACCACTGATCAATGTTGATCAAGGTTGAACAAACCCCTTAAAATGTAAATTCACTTGAATGCTATTTTTTTTTTCTAATCGCTTAGTAGAATAGTGAACTGTATATTTAAGAGAAATAAAATAACCAGACTCGCTCAGCTAACGTTGCAATAAATTGCATCTCACTGACTTCGACTGTGAGCTGCCAGCGGGGAGGTTCCACACCTTGCAATGGGAAAGAAAAAAAAAACAGAAGAAAAAGCTCTGAAAATCTAAAAAGTGCTTCAACAGACTAAATATACTAAAATAATAACTTTTCATCCATTAACACTGCATGTATACACAGGGCGACAAACCGAAAGGCAGCTTGATACATAGACCTATATAGACTTATTTATAGACATGTGTTTTTTCTTTTTGGATTGTTTTTTCCTTTGTGGTTAATGACATATTTTGGTTCTAATAAATGTCTTGGAAAATGTAAATGTAGAAAAGCCATCAAAAGGATACAAATAAAACATCCCACTCAAACAAAACAAAAAAGCGTTACTACACAATTTTTCAGTTGGTTCCACCTTTAAAATTAAGTTTTTTTAAATCTTTGAATTTTGACATTGACCACACATTATTGCACTAGAAATGGTTATGATTTTCATAGTTTTAGCGACTCAATTTCCTGAACTGGGAGAGCTGAATCCACTGCTAGGCTTAATAAGAAAATGTGAGTTTGCACACTTAAATGCACAACATTCCGCCTGGGGCTGCCCCTGAGTTTGCCGCCCCTGTCTCAACCCACATCATGTCCGCTGCACTCGCGGATGTCTGTGGCTGCACCAGACATACGTCTTTTAAGTACTTAACGCCTCTAGCCCAACAAAACAACCTTTTCAAGCTTTTTTTAAGATATACACCCAAAGAATACATGCATGAAAAATGAATTGTCATTTATTTGGGGCATATCTCCTAAACAGTGAATTTATTGGGATGGGGCTAGCCCATTTGGGCAGAGTGTTCCATTAAATAATTGTTACTGAAGCGCTTCAGTATATTTAACTTTTTATTTGTATGAAAGGAAACGCGCTTATTGAATTTAATTTTACATACACATTTTAAAAACAATATACTTTTATTTTTTGGAAGGAAGGGAGGGTGAGTGTGAAGGGGGGCTGTGGAAGGTGCAGGGACGGACTAGGATTTGTGCAGGGAGGGAGGGGGGCAGTGCCTGGGATTCAGGGAAGAGAGGGAATATGTGCAGGAGAGGGATTGGGAGAGGGGATCTCTGCAGGGGAGGGGGGATCTGTGCAGGGGAGGATGGGGGAGGGATCTGTGCAGGAATGATGGGAGAGGGATCTGTGCAGGGGAGGGAGGAGGAGGGATCTGTGCAGGGAGGGAGGGAGAAGGGATCTGTGGGGAGGGGAGAGGGGATCTGTGCAGTGGAGAGAGGGGAGGTAGGGGGAGTAGGGTATGTACAGGGAAGTGAGGGGGACGGTTAGGTTGCAGAGAAGGCAGGGAGAAATGGGTTCTGTGCAGGGGAGGGAAGAATATGGGGATGTGTGCAGCGGAGGGAGGGAGAGAGGGGATCTGGGCAGGGGAGAGAGGGGATGTGTACAGGGGAGGCCCCCCGCCCCCAAATGTGCCATCTGGAGCGGACCCCCCCACTCCCCACTTGCTACGCCACTGGTCCAATCTGTACTGTAATATAATGAAGTGTCCTAAGAGGCATTGAGACTAACATTAACAGAATTGTTTACTAAAGTGAGGATAGCTGTGAATTTAGATTTAAAGGTACACTATAGTCATCAAAACAACTTCAGGTTAATGATTCAGGTTTGGTGTATAGATCATGCGGCTCAATTATATGGCATTTATGAGTTAAATCACTTCGCTTATGCAGCCCTCGTCACACTTCCCTGCATGTGACTTAATAGATACTTCCTGTAAAGTGAGATCTAATATTTACATTTCCTTATTGTGCATTCTTAATTTAGTTTCTCCTGTACTGTTAATAGCTTGCTAGACATTTGAGGAGCCTCTTGTGTGTGATTAAAGTTCAATTTACAGAGCAGGCAACAAAAACTTCTAAAGCGAGTAAAGGTCTGAATGAAAATGAAACATTTTTTCTCACGCAGGCCATGTGAGTCACAACCAGGGGAGCTGTGGCTAATGCTGCATGGACAGAAACAAAAGTGATTTAATTTGTAAATGGCAGAGAATTGAGAAGTGAAACTTCAGAGGCATAACTTATACACAAAAATTGCTTCATGAAGCTAAAGTTATTTTTGTGACTATAGTGTCCCTTTAAGGCTAGAATAGGCCAAACTAAAAAATAAAATTGACTTAGATAATTTTCATAATTTGTCTGTTTTTGGCCAAGTTTTGAAATTCACTTTGATTTCACTTTGAATTTCCAGCAATTCTCATTTCACTGCGTTATTTCTCAAGTGTATGGCTACGCACTAATTAAAACAATTCACTGCAGTGTGCAGCCTCCTACACAACAATGTGTGCTGCTGGCATTTTTAGCTGTGAAAGTCACTGAAGGAAGTGAGAGAAACACAATAGAGGATGTAAAAGGGCTCACTGACTAACAAATAATGAACCAAAAACTGAATCGCAAACTTTACTCTAAAACAGTCTGCGTTTTTAGCATTGTTTTCTCAATTGTCTAGTTTTGCTTAATTTTGGCAGTTCAGTTCTCACTTACTTCTTTACAGGTTGAGGTTTGGTGAATTAACCCACAGTGATTCCACCAAGCAAATAGTTTAATATATATTGTGGTTTACAATTCACTGCAGGTGTAAAACAAAGGTAGATCCCCAGATGTTGCAAAACTACAACTGGTACGATGGGTATTCATGCTTCTATGCAAACAATATGAATGTATTTGTGAATGAGATCAGCAGTAATTTTTTGAGACTGTTCCCATTTTGTTTTTAAGGTAATGCCCTTAAATACACCTTATAATATTTAATAACATGTCCAACCCATCATTTACTTTTGACAAACTTTTTGTGTCTGCATGCTTTGGTTGTTAAATCTGCTACGTCTTCGACATTGGTAATGGCTGCTGTCCTTATTATATATAAGTATTATATCAATCTTCTTCACTTTTACATGGCTTATTCATAAGCAGTTAAATTTTGTGATTTCCATATATCTTTTGGAAATAACTTTTTGCATTCTGATTGTAATAAATGCATTCTAAAAATCCTAAGAGAAAACTGAATATGTATAGAGTAATAATTATTCACTTCCTTATTCCCCATAATACATACAGCAACTAGTTTGTAAATTTGTAACTAGTGGTCAATATAGGTATATACAGGTCATCTGAGTAGACATCGAAAATGTAGCCTCCTAGCAGAATGGCTGAAAATATTGATAAATAAGAGTGGAGAGGTTAAAAGTGCATGTTGAGGATTATGATGAAAAATATTCTTTTTACTGGAAGGGTGTTTGGAAAAATCACATCAGCATATGGCACCAGCCAAGACCCCCCTAAAACCACCCTTTTTCGTCTGCCAAAAGTCCCTTTGTCTCAGCTTCATTGTTCCTGGGACTTATTGACAGTTGTAGAACGCAGCTCAGGACACGAGGGACACCCAACACCCCAGGGAGAGGCACAAGCGTGGATTATGGAAATATGAATTGATCTTTAAAAGAAGTGCCCCCCTCCTCTCTGCTACGGAAAATACAATGAAGGGGGGAGAGAGGCTGTGATACGATGTGAAAACCAAGAATGGGCTCGGAGCTCACCCTTCCCAGCTGTTGGCAAAAATAAAAATAAAAAAAGAAAATGTAGCGTTTGTACATCATAAGGACTCTTGAAAAGACGAAGGATAATGAAGCTACTTGTTAGACATATTTTGAAATAATGTATGCGGCGCGGTTTAATCCCCTTATATCCAGGCACTGGTTTAATAATGCAGGGGAAGTTGCCAGCAGGTTTCAAAGATGCAGTCAGTCAATGTTACTGCTGGGAATGAATCTCATGTCTCTAGCATGTGAATGTCTGAATGTTATCTGTGTGGATATATGTATATTTCCCCTTTGTGTGTATATTTATTGCAGGTACCTAGACAGATTCGTACAACAGCATGGTATGTGTCTTTAGAGGTAGAGTAATTAAATAAGAAAAGGATTTAGTTTAAAAAAGCAAATACGCTGAAAATTTCACGTGCATAGAAATATTTACGTGTGTATGTATGAGTATATATATATATATATATATATATACGTGTGCATATTTATATATGCGTAATATCACTTTCAATATGGTCAGTAAAATATATTTATAGATATTATTAGAGTGCGCACACATATGCTTACAGGCATATATTTAATTAGTATGACTACTTATGTTTATCTTTATATCTATATATCCATCTATATAACCCTCTATCCATTTATCCATCTATCGATAACAAAGTAGTGTTTGGTGATGAAGAGCAATGAGGACACCTTATGGTCACATTAAGAATTCTCCATCATGTACCCAGCTATGGGTTTAGTAAGAATGACCAGAAGCTGATCTGACAGGGTGGAAGTTGTAGATCTGGGCCACCAATGCTGCTGTAGCTGATCCTTGACATTACTCTCCCTCATTACTCTCCATTCCTCAGCCATGTGATCCTGTATGATTTACAGCTCCACCTTTAACTCCTCCCATAATTCCACAGTTAACATTTCACATATTTTATGTATTTATCTGTCCCTATAGTGTTTACCATAGCTTTACATCTAACAATTCCTGTAGGTTCTCCCATAGCTGTACTTCTAACAGTTCCTGTTGGTTCTCCCATAGCTGTACTTCTAACAGTACCTGTAGGTTCTCCCATAGCTGTACTTCTAACAGTACCTGTAGGTTCTCCCACAGCTGTACTTCTCACAGTACCTGTAGGTTCTCCCATAGCTGTACTTCTCACAGTACCTGTGGGTTCTCCCATAGCTTTACTTCTAACAGTTCCTGTGGGTTCTCCCATAGCTGTACTTCTAACAGTACTTGTAGGTTCTCCCATAGCTGTACTTCTAACAGTTCCTGTAGGTTCTCCCATAGCTGTACTTCTAACAGTACCTGTAGGTTCTCCCATAGCTGTACTTCTAACAGTACCTGTAGGTTCTCCCATAGCTGTACTTCTAACAGTACCTGTAGGTTCTCCCATAGCTGTACTTCTAACAGTTCCTGTTGGTTCTCCCATAGCTGTACTTCTAACAGTACCTGTAGGTTCTGCCATAGCTGTACTTCTAACAGTTCCTGTAGGTTCTCCCATAGCTGTACTTCTAACAGTACCTGTAGGTTCTCCCATAGCTGTACTTCTAACACTACCTGTAGGTTCTCCCATAGCTGTACTTCTAACAGTACCTGTAGGTTCTCCCATAGCTGTACTTCTCACAGTACCTGTGGGTTCTCCCATAGCTGTACTTATAACAGTACCTGTGGGTTCTCCCATAGCTTTACTTCTAACAGTTCCTGTGGGTTCTCCCATAGCTGTACTTCTAACAGTACTTGTAGGTTCTCCCATAGCTGTACTTCTAACAGTTCCTGTAGGTTCTCCCATAGCTGTACTTCTAACAGTACCTGTAGGTTCTCCCTTAGCTGTACTTCTAACAGTTCCTGTAGGTTCTCCCATAGCTGTACTTCTAACAGTTCCTGTAGGTTCTCCCATAGCTGTACTTCTAACAGTACCTGTAGGTTCTCCCATAGCTGTACTTCTAACAGTACCTGTAGGTTCTCCCATAGCTGTACTTCTAACAGTACCTGTAGGTTCTCCCATAGCTGTACTTCTAACAGTACCTGTAGGTTCTCCCATAGCTGTACTTCTAACAGTACCTGTAGGTTCTCCCATAGCTGTACTTCTAACAGTACCTGTAGGTTCTCCCATAGCTGTACTTCTCACAGTACCTGTAGGTTCTCCCATAGCTGTACTTCTAACAGTACCTGTGGGTTCTCCCATAGCTGTACTTCTAACAGTACATAGTACTTCTAACAGTACCTGTAGGTTCTCCCATAGCTGTACTTCTAACAGTACCTGTAGGTTCTCCCATAGCTGTACTTCTAACAGTTCCTGTAGGTTCTCCCATAGCTGTACTTCTAACAGTTCCTGTAGGTTCTCCCATAGCTGTACTTCTAACAGTACCTGTAGGTTCTCCCATAGCTTTACTTCTAACAGTACCTGTAGGTTCTCCCATAGCTGTACTTCTAACAGTACCTGTAGGTTCTCCCATAGCTGTACTTCTAACAGTTCCTGTAGGTTCTCCCATTGCTGTACTTCTAACAGTTCCTGTAGGTTCTCCCATAGCTGTACTTCTAACAGTACCTGTAGGTTCTCCCATAGCTGTACTTCTAACAGTACCTGTAGGTTCTCCCATAGCTGTACTTCTAATAGTACCTGTAGGTTCTCCCATAGCTTTACCTCTAACAGTTCCTGTGGGTTCTTCCATAGCTGTACTTCTAACAGTTCCTGTGGGTTCTTCCATAGCTTTACTTCGAACAATTTTCCTATATGTTTCTTTGTAGCTTTACTACTAATGCCTCCCATAGCTTCTCACATAGCTTTACATCTAAGAGCTTCAAGATCTTCTAGCTGTACCTATGGCTGCTCCAATATCTCTAATATAGTTCCTCGCATATATACAATATTTACGTAAGCTTTATTACCTGCTCATGCAACTGCCTTTAACTGTGCCTGTAGCTATTCTCATAACTTCCTGAAACTAGTCTTACTCACAAAATCCTATCCCTAACATAACCTGAAATCCAAGACTATAAATATTTGTATAATTATGTCTCAATCCATCCCCAATATTAAACACATCAGGGAACCACTTCTACCTCTTCCTGCTCCTTTTTAACATCCCATTTGTGTCTCTAACTCCACCTGTAAATTTTTCTGCTACCTCTACCGGAAAACATTATTTAAAATGTCTTCTATCACTGTCCCCTGTACTGCTCATCCTTGCTGCTCCTGCATGCCTAATTGCTTGTGTATTAACACTAACCACTCCATTCATTATCTTTCATGTAATATATCTCTTTAACATCATCTTGCTGTCTTTAATCTTTTTGCTGCTCTATCTTTTCCTGTGGTCTCCTTTAGTCTGCCTCCCCCCGCCACACTCTCTGTTTTCCCCTTTTAGTTCCCTCTGAAAATGCTCCTATAATTAAAGGAGCATCCTCAGCCCTCTCGGATGCACAAGACAGTTTTCTATTGATCGTTAGAACCCCGACACACACTATCAGGGGAGAGAACGTCAAGCTAAGGGCTGCTTTGTCTATGACATAAGCCATAAGAGGATTTTTCTCCCCTCCCACCCCCCATTTCTCTGCGCTGTTTATAAAACGCTCTACAGACCTGCTGGCTAAATGAATTTTAAAGACTACCAAGGTTTTAAAGTAGATATTCCCCTGAGAACAAGGCCAGGCAGTTCGCCAGCTAGATCTGCACCTCCCTGCTCACAAGACTGTGTGTGTGTGTGTGTGTGTGTCTTCAGGTGTCTTTGCACCTTTGTCTCCATCTGTATTTTTTGTGTGCATATGAAATGTAATTTTGTGTGTACATCAATATATGAAATTTACACTTTTTGTTCTCATCTGTTTGTTGTGTGTCCTTTTGTATGGACACATGCTGTATGAAAGGATGGGTTTTAATTTATTCCAAGTATATTTCTTCTAAACGCTGGTTCATTGTTTGCAGATGACTGTAGAATATCTAATAATTCTTTTTTTTTCCCACTCAAATATAATACAGCACCAAAGCATTTTTGGTCCTGTTTTGTGTGTATATTTTGTGTCGTATGTAAATGTGTGGGTATACGTGTATATATCAGCGTGTATCAATGAATGTAAGTGCATTACCTTGATTTAATTCTAATCTATGCAGATGTTGTAATCATTACTAAAAAGCCAATATACAAAAAAAAGAGGACTATTCTTAGACATGCTTTGGAACCTAGAGTCCAAGATGACTCAGGAGGAGATACACTCAATAATGCATTATTTCATTGAATGTTTGGACCTATGATGATTAAGACTTACACGTAGCTTTAAAGGCATCCCTATTCCTTTCTCTCCATACACGGTACCTATGTTTGAATAGCTGATCCTGTATCTTCATCTTCATTCCATACACGGTACCTATGTTTGAATAGTTGATCCTGTATCTTCATTTTGGACTTTTTGGGAATCCTTTGAGGGCAAGCTTAGCATTGCCTGTTTGGAAGCTGAGACGTTCTATCAGGGTGAACATCATCCATTGTTTCCATTGACCGTTTTGTAAGTGGCTTAGTATTTTTAACTGGAGGCTGTTTTGGATCACAAAGTCGCTGTACACCTTGACACTTCTGTAGGGCCTTCATATTGTTGCAGAGAACGTACTTAGGTATTTGTAGCTGCATTTAACAGTGGTCAACCCTATGCTGGACCATATAAAAGCAGTACATTATTAAGCTACACTTCATTTACCATGTTCAGTTTTTACTGAACAATTAAACTGCACCTCCTCCAAGTTGTATCTGTATGCCTCATATTCCCACTCAGATTGTAAGCTTAGCAAGACCAAAGCCCCTATGCTGATATATTTAAAATTTTTAAATATCCTGCCGTCCAGATTGCAAATTCGTCTGAATAGGGTATTCCTCATTTCTTCATGTGTTTCATATTGATATTATTCTTTACAAAGTGCCAATATATTCACATCGCTATACAATGGGGTTAATGAAACACACAAGTAAGTTCAATAATAAAATATATAATTTATTTCTTTTTTTATATTTCCATTGTGCAGTGATGCAGAATATGATGGGACTAGGTTAGGGTTAGTTTATATATGTATTTAACAGAGAAGACACAAAATGTTCTCCTTGTTTTATTTCCACTGTAAGAGGATGACTAATATATTGCCACCTGTCTGTGTTTCAAGTTGTTACTCATTTCCTCTAATCTCAGATTTTGCCTTAAGAAGGAACAATACATTCCTCATGCATTTATGGTTTTAATTTTCTAAAATGACAAACCAGTTGAGTAGAGCATCTAGATCTAAGCTGGTGAGGTAGCTTAGTTGATAAATGTTCTGACTGTAGTTCTGTCTGTATGTACACATATATATTTATATAAATAAAATTTAAATAAGGGTCTTCACTGCATATAAAGTGAAAAAGCAGGGTTAGCAGTTTCTCCTCTTCATTTCAACCAAGCACGGTAGGAATTAACAGGAATAAAATTTGCCAGATCTGCTATTTCCCCCCCGCCCCCTCTCTCTGCATGTAGAGCATAATCATTACTTGCAAACACTCAACCCTGATCTCATTTGTAGGTGATACTAACTGCCACTTTGTTGGCACGTATGACATTTTGTATTCTGACTACAGAAATTAGCCAAATTTTCCAAACCTGAGAATAAAATCCATTTCAAAAGGTATGTTTAAATTTTTAATTTCTGGTTTTTGTCCACTAAATTTCTATTCAAACGTTCCATTTTTTATTCCGGAAAAGAATAAAGTAGAATAGAACAAAATATATATGTGGGTTTTTTTCTGGCTTAAAAAAAGGAATATCAATCAAATAAGGTGGGAGTGAAGCAGAGATGGAGGAGAAAGTAAAGTGCTGCCCTTTAGGAGAGAGCAAGAGACGGGTATGTGAGGTAGAGGTTGCTCTGGGAGGCCATAAGTTTTCCTAAAGAGATGAGTTTTAAGGCACTTTTAAAAGGATTAAAGACTAGGGGAGAGTCTGATGGGGGTAGGCAGGCTATTCCATAATAATGGAGCCACCCGCGAGAAGTCCTGCAAGCACGAGTTGGTCGTACGGGTGCAAGCAGCGGTCAGGAGGTGGTCACAGGCAGAGCGGAGGGAACGAGGGGGGGCATACCTATGGATCTGAGAAGAGATATAAGAGGGGCTAGAATTGTTAAGTGCTTTATAGGTGTGAATTAGCACTTTGAATTGACTCCTATAGGATACAGGAAGCCAATGTAAGGGTGAGATGTGAGAGGTCCGACTAGAGAGAAAAATCAGTCTGGCGGCAGCATTGATTAGACTGTAGTGGGGCGATACGGCTTTTGGGAAGACCAATCAGGAGAGGGTTACAATAATCCATGCGGGAAATTACTAGAGCATGGACATGCTCCTTGGTAGCATCTTTTGTAAGAAAGGGGCGGATGCTGGCTTTGTTTTTAAGATGGAATCTACAGGATTTGGCAAAATACTGTATCTGAGGCTCAAAGGTGAGGCCAGAATCCAGTATGACGCCAAGACAGCGAGCTTGCAAGGATGGACTGATGTGGGTACCACAAACTTGAAGGGAGAGCGAGAGAGGAGGATCAGTATTAGGAAGAGGAAAGACAAGGAGTTCAGTTTTAGAGAGATTGAGTTTCAGAAAGCGGGAGGACATCCTATCAGAGATGGAAGAAAGGCAGGCAGTAACACATTGCAGGACGGCAGAGGAGAGGTCCGGGGAGGAGAGATATATATGGTTGTCATCCATGTACAGGTGGTAGTGGAATCCAAAAGAGGCAATACGTTTGCCAAGAGAGGCAGTATAAAGCGAAAATAGAAGGGGACCAAGGACAGAGCCTTGATATATATAAAATTGTATGTTATGTGAGATCTGGGAGATATCTTTCTTCATTGATCCTGGTAATCTTCTAACTATCACATTTTTATTAGCTTTAGTAATTGCATAGTTGGTAACAATTGAAAAACAAAACACAAAATGATAACAGCCCACCCCCCCTCCCCCCCACACACACACCACCCTCTTTTTAATTTTTTTAGTTTAACCTCTGGAATGTGGGTGATGTTGCCGTACTCATTTTTGCTGGAATAGAAGTGCAAACCATTGGACTGTCCTGCCTACTTGGGACAGTTGGCAGCTATGCAATTGGCAAGTTACTACATGAAATGTAATAACTGTCCGCATGTAAAACATAATTAAGTGGACATTCACTTATTTGAGGTTGATAAGATCAAAGGTCTTTTACAGATATGATATAATATCTAGCTAATATTTTCAAAGACAGTTGTTGCTGTATAGTGTATTTGGATAACTTCATGATTATGTTTATAGCTAGGAGCTTAGTTTTTTTGTGTTGTGGGAAGTCACATATTTTGTATATAATGTTTTGCTAACTTTACGCATTTTAGCTATCTAGGTTTTTTTTAGGGTTTTGTTTTTTGTTTTTGTTTACCGTTTTTAAACTGTGTTAAATTTAGAAGATTGTTTCCTTAATTTTAAAATGTTGTATATTTCACTAAATTGCCCTTTTTCTGTTATTGTATTTATAGGTTTTTGTAACTCATTCATCCTATCACCGAACAGTTACAGTAAACATTAGAACACTTACACAGTAGTACACTCACTGTGTGTGTAAACCATTTTATTTTATGTTGTGTAATTTTATGATGACTAAATAAAAGTTATGTTTTATTACTTTTGACACTGTAACACACTCGGACTACCAGTCCTTTGGCTTTGTCTCACCTGGTATAATTAAAGACTATCCTTCTTTTTTAGCAGCTTCTCTTAGGACTATTTAGTCCCACCATCTGTGCATCGTTAACATGTATACTGTATGTATCTCTATGTCAGCAACATAGAAGAAGAATATTAAATAGTCCAATTTTGATTTACATATATAATTGATGTGTACGTTTTCCAGCAGTTGAGGTCATACCAATGTATTAAAGACCTTTCTTTTACTGTCAAGTGGTTATTTTATTTTTTTCTTTAATGACAGATGTACATGTGTATTCAAGGAAAGCTCTAATTTGTATTCAAGAATGGGTTTTCACACATACAAGTAAGGAAACCACAAATTGGGCATCTCAAGACATCAAATTGGTGTCAAATATATAACTTCAAGCTATGTGACCCCCAAGAACCTGACCCATTTAGCTTGAGTTGTGGGTCATAATCCAGAGATTTTAGGTCAAATGCTGAACATCCACTGCTCTGATAATTGTCATAATGGGCAATGTGGAACTCTATTTTAAACTCCTTGTCCAATTTCATAGAAAGAGAAACTACTCAATTACGGTTTCAACTGTGTATAGTTTGTGATCACTGAAAAATGAAAATCATGTTTTCCCATCCCAGAGCCTTGTGAAATTACCTGATTTGTGAGTGTTTTTAGAGACACTTTCTCAATAAAATTCAAAAAGAACCCAGCTGGAGGGGCCTCTTGCCGGCGGCCCGTCTTTCCTGGTTTATTGTGTAATTGAGATAGAACTTGGCAAAGTCTTGTCAGAAATCACATCAGTAAAGGGACGGGGATCTTTTCCATATGGCTTGGAATCTCTTGTGAAATCCATATGTCTTTATTAAAAAGGGAATCACAGCAGGAGTGTGAGAATCTAAGCCTCTTGTCAGAGATTCTGCTTATAAATCCCCCAGTGGTTTTTGCTCGTGGGTCAGATCTTAAAATTTCTATGGTGACAGCAGAAAAAAAAAAAAAATCTATTTGGCCCAACACTTCTTCCTCTTTCTTACCTCTGTCAAAACCACATAGCTGGTTTGATTCTCTGCCCTTTTTTTATTTTTATTTTTTATATATATATATGTTCAAGATATCTTTGTATTTCCTGTTTTAAAAGAATACAATATCTATTGACAGTTCACTTGTTTCAGAATGAAGGATGATCTATATCTAGTTATCTTTTAAGCTAAAACTCTTATCACCAACATATTTATCATACCTAGTTAAGGGATGGTGGGATTTGTAGTTTTGCTGTAGCCAGAAACCATGACAGGGTCCAGGGCCAGCCCAAGACGTTGTGCTGCCTGGATCCAAGTATGAAAAGCTGCCCCTTCTCCCCCCATCCCCCCCCCCAAAAAAACCAACACAACATAAATGCTTCTGCAATGGTAGTGTCTCTATGTGGGTGTGCTGGGGATGAAGTGTGTGTCTGTTGGTGTGCTGGGGATGAACTGTGCGTCTGTGTGTGTGCTAGGGATGAAGTGTGTGCGCTGGGGATGTAGTATGTGTCTATATGCGTGCTGAGTATATAATATGTGTCTGTGTGCGTGCTGGGGATGTAGTATATGTCTGTGTGTGCTGGGGATGTAGCTTGTGTCTGTGTATATGTTGCTTGTGTCTGTGTGTGGACTGCAGCCAATACACTTACCTATAAACTGTGTCTATGTATAGGCATGTGTGTCAGTGTTTGTATGTGTGGCTGTATCTGTATGTGTGTCAGTGATTGTATCTGTTTGTCTATGTATCTGCATGTGTGGCAGTGTTTGTCTGTATATTTGCATGTGTATCAATATGTCTGTGCAACTGTATGTGTGTCAGTATATGTATCAAAAACTGACACACATGCAGATACTGACACACATAAAAATGTACAGGCACACTGATACGCCTGCAGGTACACAGACATAAAGACATACACACAGACACATACAGACACTGACACATACAGATGCACACGCTGCCACACATGCAGATACACAGACATACAGTTACACACACTACACACACAGATACACATTACACCCATACAGTATACACACACTACACGCATACATACATACATATACACACACACACACTACACATACACAGATACACACACACAATACACACACTACACATACACAGAGACACACATACATACAAACACACACTACACACATTACACACACTACACACAGATACACACACTACACACAGATACACATATTACACTCATACAAACTGATACACACACTACACATACACTGATACACATACACAAACACACTACACACATACAAACACACAGATACCCATACTACATACAGACACACATACAAACACACAGATACACACACACACACAAACACACAGATACACACACTACATACAGATACACACACATACAAACAGACACACACACACACATTAAAAAAATTAAGCCACCCAGCAGATTCTTACCTTCTGCTGGCTGTGGCTGGTGGGAGTTGGGTGCCTGCTCTGGTAAACCGGCCCCATCCTCGCTGCTCCCTCCTCCTGCTCCCGCGCAGCTGGCTCTATGTGAGCTGGGAGGAAGTGACAGCGATACACTGTCCCTTCCTCCTAGTTCTCCATGCAGATAGGAAGGGGCCCGGTCGCGCTGTTAAAGTGCTGCAGCGCAGGACCGTGCTCCTCATTGCACATGTCCATCGGGTGGCCCATGCCCTTCACACAGGATCCCAACCCGTGTGGTGCTTCTGCACCGCCGCCGCCAAGGGTTGGGAAATCCTGTTTTAGATTATGACAGGGGCAGCAAAATGCCACCCCTGTCAGGGTGCCGCCTGGAGCCATGGCTCCAGCGCGGTCTATGGACGGGATGGCCCTGGGTAGGCCACCCATGTCTACATGTGAAGAAGCCAACCCTTTGCTATGGACACAATACACATGAACACAGACTAATATTGTAACAGTATTTGTCCAGAACATCTGCTTTCTATATTTCTTTTAATGTCTGAAATTTCTCTAGCCAAATATCGGAATCTGTCTGCACATTTACTAGTTAGTGTTATTATCATCAAAGAGGCTCCCAATGATCAGATTATTGGCGTAGCTGGAAAGTTTGGAAGTGAGGCAGTTACATGCTCAACCCAAATTACTCATTTAGTGATAATACCCGGCATATTTCAGTTTTCTGAAATCTTATGAAATAGTAAAAACAAAAGCCACTCTTCCCCTATACTGTCTGGAAGATTTTTTACCGCGTCTTGTTTTCTTGTGATCATCTAGTCATTGTGAATGTAAGCAAATAATATTTGTCTCTTTCTCTTGGTAGGACATTTTGTCTATGGTGCCAAAGTTCTGTTTTCCGTTTGCCATTGAAAGGTAAGCCACTGTTTATTAACTCATCACCCATGTATTCCTTTGGGACGCTCAAATGTGCAAAGTTTTAGCTTTTCATACCATTAAATTGAACAAAGGTGGAATTTGCTCCAGACCATCCTCCAGAGTCCATTCTAAAAACCTGCTTTTCCCCAAAAAGCTTTCCATACTGTGGCCAGCCCCTTGACCCAATTTTCACTCCACCATCAGCTGTATCTGTCAGCATGCCTATTGATGTATTGTAGTGTACTCTATCTATAATGCTGTATGTAAGCCTGCTATGTTTACCACTTACGTGTTTGTAACCATTTTATAAATTATGAAAATGTTGAGTACATTTTTATGCAAGGCCATACTGAAATTCTTATGTTTAAAAGTGGAAATGTGACCATCTTTTGTGAGCCTTTTTGTACTCTGGTAATGAGCACAGTACTCACTGCATGGTGAAGCCGAGTGTGTATAAAGTTATTATAATCCTGTGGACATTAATATCCAAGGTGAGTTTAGGTATTGATAAAAACTGACTGATATTTGATAGTGATGAATTTCCTTCACCTGTACCAAGTATGCAACACGTACATATTAGTAATGCATATAAGTGCATAGAATAATAATGCTGAGTATCTCTGCTCTGCCCCTAACAGGGTGACTCAGACTCAGGTTGGACAGCACTTCACATTTGTTCTAACTGATATAGACAGTAAGCAAAGGTTCGGGTTTTGCCGGCTGACGTCAGGAGGTAAAATCTGCTTATGCATTCTCAGGTGAGTGGAACATGAAGCAGGCCATGTTTTGTATGGTGTAGAAACAGATATGTCATATTTTAGAAATATGTTTTTTTTTAATCAAGCTTGTACAGGTAACTTTACCTTGTGTTGCTGTTTTTTATAATCTGTAACCATAGATAAAGTGGCAGACATCTTTTGTCAAGAAATCACAAAGTAGTATTTTACTCTCTTGCATCTACTAGTGGTATATACATATATGCATATTACAAACAAACGAAGAAAGAATGCAAAAAGGTCCAATTACTCTTGTTTATTTGTTTGGTGTGTGTTTATGTGTGTGTGTGTGTATGTATATATATTGTGACCGAAAGCAAGGAATTGTGCTGGAGGGAATCTATATATCTCCCCAGATTTTGCAAGGTTCCTACTTTGTGTAATTAGCCCCAGGGAAATGTGTTGTGTTAAAATTAATATTGCACTTTAAATATGTGTATATTTGGGCCCTGGGGTGGAGCACTTGGAGAGTAGGGTGGGCCAGTGCTCCACTCCACATTTTGGAAATTAATTGGAACCTACAGCTGAGAAGTCCAGTTCCAGAGTTTCAATCCTTATTTAACTCACCTGAAAAGGATTGTTAATTACAGGTGCTATAAAAGGACCACTATAGCGCCGGGCTGGATGGAGAGGAAGGGCTTAAACTTACCTCTTTCTCCAGCGCCGGGCCGGGAGCTCTCCTCCTCCTCTCCTCCCTCTTCTCCTCCTCTTCGGCTGAATGTGCATGCACGGCAGGAGCCGCGCGCGCATTCACAATGCTTTCCTATGGACGCTGGCGTCTTCTCACTGTGATTTTCACAGTGAGAAACGCGGAAGCCCTCTAGCGGCTGTCAATGAGGCAGCCACTAGAGGCTGGATTAACCCTAACATAAACATAGCAGTTTCTCTGAAACTGCTATGTTTATAGAAAAAAGTGTTAACCATAGATGGACCTGGCACCCAGACCACTTCATTAAGCTGAAGTGGTCTGGGTGCCTATAGTGGTCCTTTAAGTACTCCCCTGCCAAGGGAGGAGGGAGATTGTGTTTGATTTCTGTGAGTGGAAACAGAGAGCTGAAAACCCTGAAACGCTAAGGTTGTTGCTTATGTTTATGTTGGGAAATGTACAAGCCATCCAACCCAGTTAGCTAATTATTTTGTTTAGTTAGTGCTCAGAAGAGCAAGGATTTTGTTTTATATATTTTGTTACAACCTTTTATACCTTCATGTGCATTTATTTTGGAACCACAATAAAAAGAGCAAGTCCTTTTACCTCATCCAGCGTGTGAAGTGTCTCTAAAGCCTGAAAAGACTGTGTGTAACACCCCAATCCCAGGACAAGGTACCAAGGGAAAGGAGTACTTTTATCATAATATATATATATATATATATATATATATACACAGTATCTCACAAAAGTGAGTACACCCCTCATATATTTTATTATATCTTTTCACGTGACAACACTGACAAAATGACACTCTGCTACAATGTAAAGTAGTACAGCCTGTATAACAGTGTAAATTTGCTGTCCCCTCAAAATAACTCAACACACAGCCATTAATGTCTAAACCGTTGGCAACAAAAGTGAGTACACCCCTAAGTGGAAATGTCCAAATTGGGCCCAATTAGCCATTTTCCCTCCCCGGTGTCATATTACTCGTTAGTGTTACAAGGTTTTAGGTGTGAATGGGGAGCAGGTGTGTTAAATTTGGTGTTATCGCTCTCACACTCGTCACTGCTAGTTCAACATGGCACTTCATGGCAAAGAACTCTCTGAGAATCTGAAAAAAAGAATTGTTGCTCTTCATAAAGATGGCCTAGGCTATAAGAAGCTAGGCTATAAGAAGATTCCAAGACCCTGAAACTGAGCTGCAGCACGGTGGGCAAGACCCTACAGCGGTTTCACAGGAAAGGTTCCACTCAGAACAGGCCTTGCCATAGTCGACTAAAGAAGTTGAGGGCACATGCTCAGCATCATATCCAGAGGTTGTCTTTGGGAAATAGACATGAGTGCTGCCAGCATTGCTACAGAGGTTGAAGGGGTGGGGGGTCAGCCTGTCAGTGCTCAGACCATACGCCGCACACTGCATCAAATTGGTCTGCATAGCTGTCGTCTCAGAAGGATGCCTCTTCTAAAAATGATGCACAAGAAATACCGCAAACAGTTTGCTGAAGACAAGCAGACTAAGGACATGGATTACTGGAACCATGTCCTGTGGTCCGATGAGACTAAGATAAACCTGTTTGGTTCAGATGGTGTCAAGCGTGTGTGGCGGCAACCAGTTGAGGAGTACAAAGACAAGTATGTCTTGCCTACAGTCAAGCATGGTGGTGGGAGTGTCATGGTCTGGGCCTCCATGAGTGCTGCCGGCACTGGGGAGCTACAGTTCATTGAGGGAACCATGAATGCCAACATGTACTGTGACATACCAAAGCAGAGCATCATCCCCTCTCTTCTGCGACTGGGTCGGAGGGCAGTATTCCAACATGATAACGAACCCAAACACACCTCCAAGATGACCACTTTCTTGCTAAAGAAGCTGAAGGTAAAGTTGATGGACTGGCCAAGCATGTCTCCAGACCTAAACCCTATAGAGCATCTGTGGGGCATCCTCAAACAGAAGGTGTGGGAGCGCAAGGTCTCTAACATCCACCAGCTCCGTGTGTCACATCATGCCATATTCTGCGGAGATGTCTGGCTTTGGCTTCTGGTATCCAGTACTCTTTTTACAATCCTTGCTTAGTTTTTCTTTTTCCTTTTGTTTCAGTCTGGACCTGCAGCAGTGTTTCAAGTCTCTGCCTTTTCTTGCAGGTAAGTGCTATTGTGGTTTAGTATGGTTTTTTAGCGAACATTAGGCAGTGTAGGTCCTGCCGAATATGGGATACATTGGCGTTGTGGCAGGCTTATGCAATGTATGATCATATAATGTAACTAAATCCCCATACTTTTCATATATAGTGCTTAGTTATGTCTACTCTTGTTTTGCCTATTATATCTTGTCTTGTTTTATTTTGTTAACCCAGTCCATGTACAGTCCTGTCCTGTCCTGCCCCTGTTTAGTTAATGTTCCCTTATGTATTGTGTACATGTTCTGGGTTTAGCTTCCTATCCTTCTCTGGTTCTGGGTTCTACTAGTTCTGTCTTGTTTTCATGTTTGGTGCCTACTCTAGCCTTGCCTTGTTTCTGTACTGGATACATGTCTGCTGTAGAGCCCCCCTATCCAGTTCCTGGGATCCGCTGTAGCTGCATCAGGGTTCTGGTAAGTGGCCGCGCAAACGCTGGTGCTCAACACCAGGGGGCGTGCGGTTACCCTGCACCAGACCCTGCTAATCCACTTCCACTGTGACTCCTACTCTCAACATCAGGCATACTGGGTTTCGGTCCACGCACCGCCTCCCGGACAGTGTCTGGGTCCCGGGCACCGGACCGCCACCCTGACACTGTGATGTCGTCTTGCAGGAGTGGAAGAGGACTCCAGTGGCAACCTGTGAAGCTCTGGTGAACTTAATACCCATAAGGGTTAAGGCAGTGCTGGAAAATAATGGTGGACAAAAAATATTGACACTTTGGGCCCAATTTGGACATTTCCATTTAGGGGTGTACTCACTTTTGTTGCCAACGGTTTAGACATTAATGGCTGTGTGTTGAGTTATTTTGAGGGGACATCAAATTTACAATGTTATAAATGCTGTACACTTATTACTTTACATTGTAGCAGAGTGTCATTTCTTCAGTGTTATCACATGAAAAGATATAAAATATTTACAAAAATGTGAGGGGTGTACTCACTTTTGTGAGATACTGCGTGTGTGTGTGTATGTGTATATATATATATGTATATGCACACACATGTATTAATATAATTTCTGTTTGTTGTAACATATTTTTGATCTCTGAAAAACAAAATATTTTTGTCCTGAGTCCTGACAATTGTAAGCAAGCAGATTAGTACTTAAATCCAATGGGGTAGATTTCTAATTCTCTAATTCTGTCTATGATCTGGTGAAGTTCAAGCTGATGTCATGTACCCTCTCATGGGACTCCTAGTTGGAGAGCTTTCCTCATGCATTCTTTGCTCCTCCCAGCAGACTGCTGAAATGAGTCCTCTTATCTAATATTGACTCAACTCAGTCACTGTTAATTCCACAGGTGAATACACAATGAGGTAATTTGGGACTTTTATCTTAAGTTCGTTAGCTGGAGGATTCATAGTAAAATAAAGTATACTTTAGTGCTGAAATTGAGATACTTTTTCAAAATTGTGGCACCAGTCAAATGACTAATTTGGCAAATTTAAGTGGATATTCAATAAAATTCCTTTTTGCAGGTTGTACTTTTATAAAATGTTATATACCATATCTCTATACTTATTCTTTTTTACTCCGTTTCCTTTAATGTTCTGTTTTATCTCATAATTGTGTCTCACACGTTGTATACTCTTCTGTTCCTTATTTATACTATGTACTCTTACACATCACCCCATATTCTTCTGTCACTATGTCCCTTGTCGGTCTTCCATCTGTGTATTTATCTCAGATTCCTCTTCTTCCATGTTTTTATCTTTCACTGCATGTTTATCCTTAAACTTCGTTGTTTGTCCAACATCCTTAAATTCTCTACTCTACCCCTCTACTCAAATCCCAAGTCTCCCAGCTTTCCTTTGCTTCCATTGTGCAGCGAATGTTTCTGATTTCCAAGCCATCTCTGTCCAATTCCCAGACGGAAAAAAGTCTCTGACCTCTGCTTCCAGACGTCTGGACAGAAGGAAAAGCAGCTTCCTCTATTCTTTAGATGTGAACCTACGATGCGAGAGTCCGCTCACTAATTCAGAGCAGTAACAGCTTACCTGCCCATTTCTACGCCAACTACTTCCCCTCCGTCACTTAACCCCTGACACTTACAATTTAGAAACGTGTCCCCCTGCAGTGGCACCCAAGTGACACACTGAGCCTGGAGGGAGACTGGGCTGCTAATAACTTGCAGACTTGGGAATCCTTTCCAGGGGAAACCCTTTGAATCCCCTTCTAATGAGCCATGAAATATAGGGAGGTTTTGTATCCAGGACAGGTCGTGCTGGAGCCTTGTATTTCACATCAGGCCAGAAACTCAGCAAGCCCTTCACCCTATATATTACATGCAGATGGAGTTATTCAGCGTTTACGTTATACAACAATCCCAGAAAATCCCAGGGTATATTTCAAGGAATCATTGTATAAATAGACAGAATACAGCTGTGTGCATTGGTGGAAAGAATTATTCCTACCAATATAAAGTTATTTGCAAGCATTTTCCTATTTATAGAGTCGCAATATAATATACAGCTGTTCAACGCTGTATAGATGTGTGCATACAGTGTTTTATTATATATATATACATTATAAAATTTAGAAACTACATAAATAAAGGTCATTTGGCCTCCATATACTGTACAATACATAGACAAAACACAAGAGATTCTATATATACTGTAGATGTGTGTGCTATGGTAGTGTAGGGGTTAGTGATTAGTGCTGGGGTAGTGTTAGAGTTAGTGTAGTGGTGTCGGCAAGCATTGGGACATACATGAGAGAAGGTGGGGAGTGTTAACTTAGAGACCTCAGGTAAGAAGTCAAACCATAAAAAACCAGTTTGACTACATACATTAGGGGGCGCCAGTGTGTAACTGGCACGATGGCAACTGCAATGTGGTGGAGCATTCCTGTAAAGTCCAAAGCTGCCATCAATAAAATAGCAGAAGATGCTGCTAGGAATCCCCAATAATCTTCTAAACTCAGACACACTGGGACATGTACGAACCGGTTCTGCCCAATGTCATGGCCCCTCTAATTATGGGAAATAATTGCACGGATGATGTCACTTCCATGTAACATAGCGTTTGGAAACATGGTCTTTCTGTTGAAATGATCATGTACTGATGCATATAAATTAAGGAGTGCTAGTACTCACAGAGTGTAGAACTAGTTAAAGAGATGGGTGCTTTATTGTTATAACTGTAGGGCATAAGAGGAGGTGGCTTACTTTAACCATTAGACGCTACATTTATTTATCTACCTATTTATTTGTCTTTATCTATAAGGCAAATATCCAATAGAATCAATAATACATAGTTAACAATCACATACATGGTTAAACTTAAATTGATGGGGATAAAGGGTATTTTTAAATATCCATGTATTATATTTACTAAATTCCACCACCATCACACTTGGTGCAGGTGAATTTACCAAATATAGTACACTACATGCACAGGGTGTGCTAAGGGTGTACCTATATTTCTTTATGAAAGATTTATGATAATATTATTAATTAATATCTGCAAATATTTCTGATATAGAAAAGTAAAATATCTCATAATTCAAGACTAATAATTATATTTAGATGTATATGCCCTGTACAAATGTTACAGGTAAGATGTTTTTAATGTTCAGATATACTGACGCATAAGTGTGTCTTAGTTATGGGTGAGTGTCCTAAGGTAGGTTAATATGTATAAAACTATTTATTGAGCACATTTTTTGCATTATTTAAAGAGGGTGGCGTAAGGTATCACACAGTAGTAGGTTCATGTACAATGCAATGCGGCCCGTCCGCTGAAGCATTCTCTGTGCTATATTCTAATCCCAGATATTGCCATTCTTTGGTAGGGGCCAGCCTGACACGACATTGAAATGCATGACCTCTCTTGCATGTACTGTGCAGCTCAGTATCAGAGACATAAATCTACCACCCATAGGAGAGAGTTACTTGCACTAGGGACAGGCTATTTTTCATTAGCAAGTGGAAGGCAATATTCATGCAATAATATGATAAATGGCCCTGCACTGCAGTGAAGAGCGCTCTGTCTTTTCTGGGAGATAAATCAGTAAGAGCCCTCCATGCTGCCACGTAATGCATGTGGATAAATTTACAGTTGTGTGTGTTTGAATGTGTAAAGTATTTTTTATGTACTTTCTATATACATTGAAGAGCACACAGCTGTAGATACTTACAATGTTTACCTCATATCATTTTTTGAATGCGTGTAAATTCCCAAGTGGTTTATGGACTATATATGGCCAGACATTTTTGGAAAATGTCAACAATATATTAATAGCAGTATGTGCTTTTTGCTGCTCACCAAGAATAAATTGCAGGGGAAAAAAAAGAATTTTATCAAGTAGCATGGAAAAAACTTTACGTGAAAAAATCATCAAAATCAAAATGTAGAGCCTCCGAAAGTACGATTTCCAGCGTGACTTTATTGTAGATTTACATTTCAAATATTGCCATTGAAGCTTTGAGTTTCAAATGTTTACATTGATAAAACATTACAACAGCAGCAACGTTGATAACAATGCCACTAATTGGGAGAAGGGGTGGGGGTAAAATTAGTTTAAACTTGGGAGGAAGTTATTGTTAAATTAAAGAGGTCTTTGTTTTAGTTGGGAGGGCGGCATAAGGTACCCCTGATTCTCACTGTGTACCTGTTCTTTTTTTTATTGATGCTTATTGTTTTTAACATAGCAGCGATATTATAGCTTTGCTATAGTGACAGTGACATTTTTAAATGTTAATTAATTAATGTCATTAATGAATACTTACAGCTTTCTTAACTAAACTGTTAGCTGTGATAGACTTGACAGCTGACAAAATTTAGACCACTATAGCTCATTTCCACTGTTTATTGGAAAGCCTAAATTATACATCATATCTGCATTTCTGACATGTTATTTGTAGGGTAAATAAATTAAATTGTATATATGTTTGTGTGTGTGTGTTAATTACAGCTGATTGCTAAGTGAATTTCTTTTACTTTTAGTTTTAAATCTCTAGATAGCGTAACAACTAGGTTAGGTTTTTTACAGTCTCTTTTTGTCTATAATAAAGACACCGCAATGCTTATCCAGCGTGAGGAAGATCTCAGCCATTGTACTTTATCAAAGCTGCTTTATCTTATGATCTCATGGGAGAAGTTGTCTAAATAATGCAGACTCACCGCTTTCTACCCATTGTTATATATTTAGAAGTGCTTGGAGACCTCCAGCAAGAGGGAGTTAAAGGACCGCTCTGGATTATATCCACCAGGTCTGCAACTGGAACGTAGGAACATTTATCTGGACACTGGCGACCAGACAAACACATTTGATCAAATGTAATTGTAACTTGCCACCTGCATGTCCGCGTTTCCCATAAATTGGAATTTCCTAGAATTTAATGTTTTATTCCAATTGTGATTTCTATACGTTGGAGCTTTGGAAAGATGTTAAAAGAGCAACTTACAATAGTAATGTATTATTTAAAAGATTAAAAATGTGTACAATATGTATATCTTAGCTCTCCAAACTTGAATGTGATGTATGGGGTGTAACAGACATACTGACATACACAGACAGACACTGACACAAGCACAGACACATACACTGACAGACATACTGACATAAACATACACTGACAGACATACTGACACAGACACTGACAGACATACTGACACAAACACAGACAGACATACTGACATACATACTGACACAAACACATACACTGACAGACATACTGACATAAACATACACTGACAGACATACTGACAAACATACACTGACAGACATACTGACACAGACACAGACAGACATACTGACATAAACATACACTGACAGACATATTGACAAACAGACATACTGACACAGACACTGACAGACATACTGACATAAACATACACTGACAGACATACTGACACAAACACAGACACTGACAGACATACTGACACAAACACTGACAGACATACTGACATAAATTTACACTTTTAAACCCACCCACAAGTTTCCTACCTTGGAAGGTGGTTCCCCAGGTGTCCAGACTGAAGGCTGTTGGGATCTGCCTCTCCTGGCAAGGGTCCCTCCTTCGTCTCCCGCGCGGCTCCTCTCCTTAGTGAGAGGAAGTGACTCGCAGCCGTCACTTCCTCCCAGCGCTGCCGAAAAGCAAAGGGCCCGGTCGCGCTGTTAAAGTGCTACAGCGTGTGACCGGGCCCCTGCTTACAATACCCACCCGGTGGCCTGCTTAATGTGGGGGCCGGTGGCCCCATGGGAGAAACAATTGTTGAGGGCAGCGGGGCCCACGGGGAAGCTGCCTTGGGCCCCCCAAGAGTAACTGGGCCCGGGGCAGCTGCCCCGTTTGCCCCGCGTTAAAGACGGCCCTGAGTGTCCCTTTAATAAACCGCTCCTTAACTGTTTGTTGATAAACCATGGAAAGAGATTCTTGTACCATAACCAATACATTGAGCTGTAATTGTTATGCTACTTAGAGTGTTACTCTATGAACTTACCACTGTGTTCTAGCCTCCATAGTTTAGGTTGGTATAATACAAGTGGTAAGAGTTAAAGGTTTTTGTTTGTAAAATTGCTATGTAGTCATGTTGATTTTTTTTTTTTTCACAATTAATCTATCATTTGCTTTGTGATTGATTAATTAAAAGAGTCCCTGGTGAATCGATGTTGACATAGCAGCAATGATTCTAGAAAATAAAACTTTATGGCTGTCATGGGGTAGATTTATTAAGAGGTGAAAAGTTGGGGGAGTGTGAAAGTACCTGTTAGGCAAACTTTTAGTAGTACTGTGCACAAGATCTTAAAGTCTGTTGGCATGGCAGTCCAATTTTGTTTTTTAAATTGAGGTGTGTATGTTGCAGTGTTGGGCTTGTGTATTTTATGAGGGCTGCAGTTGCTTTGTAACATTGTATTTGTGTGTATGTGGCTGTTATATTGTATATGTTCATTAGTATTGTGTATGATATCCATGAATGTGGACTGTGTATGGCGGCTGCTTGTGGAATTGTGTGTTTGGATGATATGTCATATTATATATATCATAAACAGTTTGCACCTTTACCAAACTGGCCAGAGTACTCGCCACATCATAACCACTATGGAAGGCCTTTTAAGGGCAATGTATACATGAGCATGTCTCAAATGCACATAATGACTGCATCTTATTGGACACAAGCTTTGACACAAAGATATATGGAATCAGTAACATAGCAAACGGACACTGACACAGACACACACAGACATTCAAATAGACACTCTAGTACAAAGATAAACTGATAGTTAAAAATACTATCCAATAAATACAGTCACAGACTTTTGATGAAATGGCCACAAATTGTCTTACAACTGCAGTAACAAAAATGATTACAGCCACTGACATGCGCATTGCACAAAAAATGATATATATAGGTTCAAGTACAAAAATACATATATGTAATGACACACATTCACGCCACATTAGACACTGACCGACACAAACAGAATCAGAATATGTTATATACAATCACAGCCATAGAAAGACACAGATGGATATGTCATTACATTGACAAAGAGACAATTATACGACTAGAACAATATCTGCTTTACAACTATAATGATACAAACACAGATAAGTTCTAAGGGTTTACAAACCGTGACATCTACACAGACACTTATTTATATTGAAATCTGACAATTAGTTACACTCTTAAAAAATCTTATAAATACAGTCATACTGAGACACTGATAGATACAACAAATTATGATGAATATAGTGGCAACCATACAGGAACTAACAGACACACCCAGAACTTGTCTATCAAAATGTTATATATACAATGAAATACATACAGAGTCTGATAGACACTACTGTCTTTTTTTCTTTAAGTCATGGTTTCTGTTCACCACAATTCAGTGATTAATCATAAACCCTAATTGTATCAATATATTCACAGTAATACTGATGCTGATTGACACAAATTAATTTGGATATGAATAATCACGGTAATTAGAGATATTGATAGACAGCCACAAACCGTACCTGACAAACCGAGTCAACGATAAATATGGAACATAACACCACAGCCATAACAATAGGTACAGACAAACAGAAATTCAAAACACATTTGTGTGTGTTTATTCTTATATAGAGTTTAAAAGTATTATAAGTATTTACAAGTAATTAAGTGTTCTTGCATAGCAAGGCCACTTAATGTTATCTCACATATATATTATTCCTATTCTTATTATAGCCAAATTTACCACCCTAACTCCTCCCACAGTTTTTACACTACATAGACAGTAATATACCGAAACGTGCGGATTGTTACCAATCGGATTGCTCTTACTTTGTGGAACGTTTCGCCGAATGGTTCACAGAATATCGTCGTTCTTGTGGCGAAATTGGTCCCATAGGAATGAATGGCAAAATGTTCAAAACTTTCTAAACTGCCACCACTCCCTCATTTTCAAGCCCACCTACACAAATCTTATATCAAAACGTTCAGCTATCCCTGCTGCCACTAAAAATGTCCACGGCTAAGCCATAGTCCTGATAGTTTTCACGATATAATCATTTGTTTGCAACTCACGCCGTCCATTGACATTCATTGAAACTCCACTCCAGCCAGCTTAAATTTGAAGTGCAATTTCTAAACTGCGACTATGCCTTCATTTTTAATACTTCAGAGACATACTATACATCAAAATGTAGGTCTGGGTCTTGTGATTCTCACAATATAAAGCTCTTCGCTGTAGGATGTACCGTTTTTAAAATACGACCGTTTGAAGATGGCACCCGCCAAAATACTCTGACCTGTGCCAGGCTACAGCAGCAAGTGATGTCATAGACAGGGCCTTTTGTACACCTGCTAATGTTTTTATAAATGCATGTTTTAACCCCTTAAGGACCGAGGACGGTTCAGGACCGTCATCGGCATTTTTGCGTTGCCGACCGATGACGGTCCTGAACCGTCCTAACGGTCTCCGTTACTTACCTGATCGCCGTCGTTCCCCCGGCGGCGATCAGCGTGGCTCCGGTTGTGGGGAGACTGCCTGCAGCCCAGACAGTCTCCCCACGGCAGATTAGGACCCCTGTGGCCATGTGATCGCTTAACACAGCGATCACATGGTCACAATAGGTGTCCTATGTGTCTGCCTGCAGGGGGACTGTCTGTGCTGACAGGCAGTCTCCCTGCTAGTGTAAAATCAGAAAAAAAAAATAAAGTTAGTGTTAATTAAAAAAAATAAAATAATTATATATGTGTATATATGATATATAGACATATATTATATCTATATAATATATGTCTATATATCATATATATATGTCATACTAAGTGTATTTTTATATTAATATGTACTTATATTAATATAAAAATACACTTATAATTAAATTACACACGTATATATATAATATATATAATAACTATATATATTGTATATATATATATATATTATTATAAAATATAAATAATAAGTAATTTAAATTAAATAATTTTTTAAAATAATAATAAAAATTAAAAAAAAATTATATATCTATATGAAATTTTATTCTAACTGTATTTTAAAATTAATATATATATATTTATATCAAAATACACTTAGAATGAATTTGTATATATATCTATGTATATAAAAATAAATAAAAAATAATAAGAAATATACATACGTCCATATACAAAATTACATAAATAATTATATAAATATACACGTAGACTTCAAATATATAAATATGCATATATATTTAAATTCTACGTGCGTATTTATGTAATATTTTTACATTATTCAGTAATTTTATTGATTGCAATTTAAGGGACCTGCCTGCTAACCCAGGCCGAAATTCCAGAGAATTGAATTTGCTAGCACTGTATTTTACCCTGTAACGTTCTACGACACCCTAAAACCTGTACATGGGGGGTACTGTTTTACTCGGGAGACTTCGCTGAACACAAATACAGGGAGTGCAGAATTATTAGGCAAATTAGTATTTTGACCACATCATCCTCTTTATGCATGTTGTCTTACTCCAAGCTGTATAGGCTCGAAAGCCTACTACCAATTAAGCATATTAGGTGATGTGCATCTCTGTAATGAGAAGGGGTGTGGTCTAATGACATCAGCACCCTATATCAGGTGTGCATAATTATTAGGCAACTTCCTTTCCTTTGGCAAAATGGGTCAAAAGAAAGACTTGACAGGCTCAGAAAAGTCAAAAATAGTGAGATATCTTGCAGAGGGATGCAGCACTCTTAAAATTGCAAAGCTTCTGAAGCGTGATCATCGAACAATCAAGCGTTTCATTCAAAATAGTCAACAGGGTCGCAAGAAGCGTGTGGAAAAACCAAAGCGCAAAATAACTGCCCATGAACTGAGAAAAGTCAAGCGTGCAGCTGCCACGATGCCACTTGCCACCAGTTTGGCCATATTTCAGAGCTGCAACATCACTGGAGTGCCCAAAAGCACAAGGTGTGCAATACTCAGAGACATGGCCAAGGTAAGAAAGGCTGAAAGACGACCACCACTGAACAAGACAAACAAGCTGAAACGTCAAGACTGGGCCAAGAAATATCTCAAGACTGATTTTTCTAAGGTTTTATGGACTGATGAAATGAGAGTGAGTCTTGATGGGCCAGATGGATGGGCCCGTGGCTGGATTGGTAAAGGGCAGAGAGCTCCAGTCCGACTCAGACGCCAGCAAGGTGGAGGTGGAGTACTGGTTTGGGCTGGTATCATCAAAGATGAGCTTGTGGGGCCTTTTTGGGTTGATGATGGAGTCAAGCTCAACTCCCAGTCCTACTGCCAGTTCCTGGAAGACACCTTCTTCCAGCAGTGGTACAGGAAGAAGTCTGCATCCTTCAAGAAAAACATGATTTTCATGCAGGACAATGCTCCATCACACGCGTCCAAGTACTCCACAGCGTGGCTGGCAAGAAAGGGTATAAAAGAAGAAAATCTAATGACATGGCCTCCTTGTTCACCTGATCTGAACCCCATTGAGAACCTGTGGTCCATCATCAAATGTGAGATTTACAAGGAGGGAAAACAGTACACCTCTCTGAACAGTGTCTGGGAGGCTGTGGTTGCTGCTGCACGCAATGTTGATGGTGAACAGATCAAAACACTGACAGAATCCATGGATGGCAGGCTTTTGAGTGTCCTTGCAAAGAAAGGTGGCTATATTGGTCACTGATTTGTTTTTGTTTTGTTTTTGAATGTCAGAAATGTATATTTGTGAATGTTGAGATGTTATATTGGTTTCACTGGTAATAATAAATAATTGAAATGGGTATATATTTGTTTTTTGTTAAGTTGCCTAATAATTATGCACAGTAATAGTCACCTGCACACACAGATATCCCCCTAACATAGCTAAAACGAAAAACAAACTAAAAACTACTTCCAAAAATATTCAGCTTTGATATTAATGAGTTTTTTGGGTTCATTGAGAACATGGTTTTTGTTCAATAATAAAATTAATCCTCAAAAATACAACTTGCCTAATAATTCTGCACTCCCTGTATTAGTGATTCAAAACAGTAAAACATATCACAGCGATAATATTGTCAGTGAAAGTTACTTTTTTTGCATTTTTCACACACAAACAGATTTTTTACTGATGATATAATTGTTGTGATACGTTTTCCAGTTTTTAAACACTAATATTTGTGTTCAGCGATGTCTCCCGAGTAAAACAGTACCCCCCATGTACAGGTTTTATAGCATTTTTGAAAGTTACAAGGTCAAATATATGGGTCAAATATTTTTACATTGAAAATGGCCAGGTTGGTTACGTTGCCTTTGAGAGCGTATGGTAGCCCAGGAATGAGAATTACCCCCATGATGGCATACCATTTGCAAAAGAAGACAACCCAAGGTATTGCAAATGGGGTATGTCCAGTCTTTTTTAGTAACCACTTGGTCACAAACACTGGCCAAAATTAGCGTTCAATTTAGTTTTTTTACTTTTTTCACACACAAACAAATATGAATGCTTACTTTGGCCAGTGTTTTCGACTAAGTGGCTACTAAAAAAGACTGGACATACCCCATATTGAATACCCTGGGTTGTCTACTTTAAAAAAAATATGTACATGTGGGGTGTTATTCAGAGATTTATGACAGATAATAGTGTTACAATGTCACTATTGATAAATTTTAAAAATGTATGTTTTGAAACCGCAATATCCTACTTGTACCTATAGCCCTATAACATGCAAAAAAAAGCAAAAAAGCACGTAAACACTAGGTATTTTTAAACTCAGGACAAAATTTTGAATCTATTTAGCAGTTTTTTTCATTCGCTTTTGTAGATGAGTAAAAGATTTTTCAAGTAAAAGTCAAAAAACATGTATTTTTTTCAATTTTTCATCAGATTTTTGTATTTTTTTAAAATTAAAATACATGAGATTATATAAATAATGGTATGTAAAGAAAGCCCCTTTTGTCCTGAAAAAAACAATATATAATTTGTATGGGAACAGTAAATGAGAGAGCGGAAAATTACAGCCAAACACAAACACCACAAAAGTGTAAAAATATGTCTGGTCGCAAATGTACAACATCGCAAAAACAGTCCAGTCCTTAAGGGGTTAATGTAACTGTGAAGCACTTTGGGCAACAACGTTGCAATTAAATGTGCTATATAAAAAAATGATAACAGTTACTCCGCCCACTCCAGTTGTAGACTACTGGTGGAGGCAAGAACACTTCACACAATTTCCCCAGAAATTGTAGCTTTTCTAGTTTAAAATCTAAACTCCATAAAATATTATCTTTACCGTCTGCTAGCCAAATATCTAGTGTTATATTTTGGTTTTACCAGCATAAATTCCAATGCGAATGGCATATAGATAAATACTGTACATCTATTACAGATGGTCCGTGTACTTTATGAGAATGTGATCCTGTTGCCTAATCCAGGAAAACCCTTTAGGTTAACACAGTATTTAATCTATTTGTGAACTGGCGGCTTGGCGTATTGTATAGACTTAAGAACGTCATGTTATTCACACATTTTGTGCATGGCAGGTTGACTTTAATGAAACTGAATTTTGTAGGAACCAGGCCTCAGACAGTAGCTCAGCCATTGAATTGGACAGGATCCAATTTCCTGAGACACAATGCCAAGTCCAACATAAAAAGTGCTTAAAAAAATAGACATTAACTACTTGAGGTTCACCTTTGTAGCTAAATGAAAACACTCCCGAGATGTGAAAATCAGAGCATGAGGTCTAATTAATGAAGTTTAACATTATCCCAATACATTTCAAAAAATCTTGTTTTTCCAAAGATTAATCTTTTTTTCTATTTATTTATAAATCAACCCTATTCGTGCAAACACGTATTTATTCACTCTACTATGCAAACTAATAAATTCAAAAGTGGTTTAATCACAAAACCATGAATTTGTGCAGAGATATAAAAGGATTGACACATTTTAGCCTAGATTACATAGCTTGCTAGCAAATACAGCTGTTTTTCACGAGAAATGTTCAGGTCCTTTTATCAGCTATCCATAATTGCCATTTTAGTCAATAAATATTGATGGATAAAGATGCCTTTAGTAGCTACTGTGTTTATTACATATGTGTAATCATTTCTGCAATATAGATGTTTTGTTTTATTTGTTTACATTTTTTTTTTTCTATTTTAAACAAGCCATTCTAATTATGGATTTATTTTTCCGTAGTTATCTGCCTTGGTTTGAAGTTTACTACAAGCTGTTGAATACATTGGCTGACTACTTGGTAAAAGAGCAGGTAATGATGTTCCTCTGTTCTCTGTAATAGCTGTAGGAAAAAAAAAATTCTGTTATTTTCTAATTAATTGGGCACTTTATGTATGTGAGTGGGCATCAGAATACACCAGACAGAGCATTACGTTAAAAACTCGCTCTGATTTCTTTTTTACTTTATAGCAGAACTATGTGGTCACAAAAAGTTGATGTTACAGTATATAATGAGACGATTATTTCAGTACTAATGAATATCGAGGCAAGTTTTGAAGATACACCACTAATATGGCGTCTATTGAATGTGGCAGGGCAAAAATACATTTTTAATTAGTTCATTACCCCGGCATACTATTAATACCCCAAAACATAATTTTCACTTGTTGTCTTTGTAAGGATCTATACATAAATTCAGTTGTTGAAGAGTATCTAACAGTCGAAATGAATGCATTGTAGCTAATGCCTCTCCTGGCCATACGTGGAACTGCAGGTTAAAATGTGTTGCCCTGAAAATTCAACAAGTTTAGCCCATTTAATATTTGTTCTCCAGACCCCATTGCCACCTTGCTTATCTTGAAAAGTAATAAAATACAAAGGTAGATTTTGAAAGTATACTATTGTACTTTTGAAATCTAGTTTTAATTTGAGATTTAAAATTAGATATTGATGGGACAGTGTACCATGTCTTATTTTTAAATTTTTCAGGAAAATGACTTGAATGATATGTTAAAATCACTGTACAACCACCCGGTTCCCGATGCTCACACTCCTGTCAGTCTGAGCCTTGTAAGTATGATTTTACAAAAAAATAAAATAAACTATCTTTCAGCTAGTCAGTTAAAGGTCATAGTCTAGTCACCCTTGCATTGAGGTCACAAAATAGTATGTTTTAAGAGCTTTCCCTCCACTAAGAGAGGTCTATATTCAAGATAGAGTGTATTTAAAACGTGTTGATAATAAATTGGGGATAAGATCTCTACAAGTGGAGACATCACTATAGAAACAAACAGAACATTTCTAATGCTTCCATTGGTAACCATAGTGATTACTTCACTTTTAGAACTTTGCTCCACTTTTCTCTCAGCAAGAGTTTTCTAAATCTCTCCCACTGTGAACATTTTACACATCTCCTCACATGTTCCCAATTACTGTATGTGGTTTCACTGAGAATCCCTGTACGCCATTGCATGACCACTTACTCATCACAATGTGTACCAGTTTTGTTTTTTTTTTAGTTTTTTTATAACTCTCGCACTTAATGTGCATGTTTTTCCACATATATAAATATATATATATATATATATATATATATATATATAAAAATATATAGCTTTTAGTTTTTTTTGTTTGTTTGTTTGTTTGTAAATTCTGCATAATACATTGCAACTCTGCTTCCTCTTTTCTGTTCCGGTAGTATAGTCAGATGATTAACTTGTAACTGACAAAGCCAGACCTATACATATATCTGGCCATTGGCATACTGTCACGGTGGTTGATGCAGATTCACTCAATTGGCATCCTCCCCATGACATGAAACCTGTTACAATTCTACATATCATTACATGAACAAATTCTTTATCACTGTAAACCCATAAAATATATTCTTATTTCTGTGACCGCTCTATGTCTTCTTTTAAATGACAGTGCATGAAAATGTATTTTGTGAAATGTAAAGTCTTTGGAAACTTGTTTAATGCAAGTTCTCACCTAAAATTAAAATAAAACGCCATAGAATGTCTTACACTGGCATTGCTGTAGCTCAGAGAGAGAGAGGTGGGTCTGTTTCCAACCTTTTTGTGGTTTCCTGTGTGACTGCACATGTCAGAAACCCCAAATTAGAATCACCAACATTAAGTTACATACTAAGATTTTTCTGTTTCTTGGGATCTTCTACACCTGTACTGCATATTTGCACTATGAATGCATCTGGCGAAGTTTTAGTGAATTTTGTGGGTCTCAATTTTTGTTAGAAGCTTTTTATAGTAAGAGGTCTCCTTTAAGAATCAAAGAGGAGAGTTCTTGTCATAACTGCTTAAGATATTTAGCTTTTTAAAATCTTTTAGATCCTTTTGTCAGGACTGCAAGCATAGAACAATCAAATAAAATAACATCCCATAGATCTGAGATAACTATCAGGTAACTTGACATCAGTGATGGAATTTAGAGTTCTATAATGCTCTGCTATTATCCTAAAAGAAAAATGTTGTGTCTGTGTTGGGTTGAAATGGTAGCAGTAGGTACATGGAAAAATCAATTTGTTCCCACTAATCAGTACAATATTCAGTTAATCTAAACCAGCAACCCTACCTGTCCTATTCAGACAATCTGATATACAAAATAAATAGGGGGCTCTATTGACACCCAAGTTTCTGTTTCTTATTTGCAAGAACGAGCAGCTGTTTATATCAAGTGAACACATGTTAAAAATTGAACCCTCTCCTCTGTTGGTAAGTTGCAGGGTCTGGTGAGTTCCTAATCCTAAGGACAAATCTTCAATTTCTAAACATGAATTCCTAATGAAATCACTATCTCGTCTCAGCGTAATTTAACTTTTTTGATTTTCTCACAAACAAACCCTAATTTTCTGTCTGACGATGATTTCCAATGAAAGATTCTCTTTTCCGGCTGCAATTTTACATTCTAATTTTGGATCTTCTAACATTTTAGTTATTTTGCATGCCTTGGTGTCTTAACAAGTCAGGAATATTTTTTAATGTTTACATTGAGATATGTCAACTAGTTTTCTCTGATTAAAAGGATATTATTTACTGTGTAATCTTATATTTAATTAACCATTAGCATTTTATTTCATTTTGTAGTAGATCCCTTTTTTCTCATGTGCTTCCTTTTATGGAGAAGGCAAAGTTGACATATCAGATATTGACTGTTTGACATAGGATCTTCAAAGTAACCCTCTCCACCAAAAATGCTCTGTATCGTATTTGGCTTATAGAAGGGTAACTTGGATCAGAGTGAGTTGAGCCAGTCATAATGGTTGATTGTTTCACTGTCTGAAACAGTTGACCTCATATGAGAGATATCTTTTAAACCCTAGAAATCAATCCTGTAATAACTGCCTTAAAACAAAGTAACAATACCCTCACTGCTTAATATTCATAAACCATATACATCATTGTATTTAACCAATCGGAATGGCTGGTAGTCTTTTATTGACATGTGCACAAGGTTACAGTGTTGTTATTTTAGAAGAGCCGTTTTGGGGTAAATTGCCAAACACCAATCAGTCACCATGGAAATCACCATATTTTATAAGAATGTGAAAGATTGCTTTTTAAAATAAACTCATTGAGGGATATTTATCAAATGGGTTTCTGAAAAGTAGAGAAAAATGTAAAAGGGTAGGTGTCAGCAATGCAATGTGCCTGCTGGTTTTATTGGTTTCCATAGTGATTGCCCTACTTTTAGTACTTAAGACCACTTTTTAGAACAGAAGACTTTGCGAAATCGCCCCCAATGTTTTGGACTTCTTCTCAGAATCCATTAATATCAAATCGGGGAATAAAAAAGATGCCTAATTTTCTTTAGACCTATAATGGTCAGGTCATCATAACTATCAGGTCCTTTCAGCGCTTACCCACGACAGGATGTTCTGGTTGTTTGGCAACAGAATGTACCTATAGAACTGATAATGCTAATCAATGTTGGTGAAAGATTTACGGACCACATTATTATATTGGGGTAAGATTTCATTGATCTTTAAAGGGCTACTGTAGGCACTATAACCCTTTCATCTCATTGAATTGGTCCCCTGGTGCTGTTCCTTCATTCAAAGTTAATTCATTTTCAAACAATTAAACACGAAGATCCATTGCCTCCCATAGTGGAGGTATAACTAAGGCAGAGAGTACACATTTACTTCTAGCAGCTTACTCTTTCAGCCAATCACTGCCACTGATTTCTGCTCAAGCTAATGCTTCCTCATTAGCCCAAGCAGCACAGAGGGGATGGCTTGCTGAGGACTCTCAATTTCCATTAAAATCTTAAAAACACTTTAACTCTGAATAGAAGGACAACATCCGGGGACTCCAGACAGCATACTCCCTAAAATGAGATGAATCAGTTACAGTGCCTTTAGTGTCCCTTTAAGAGATTGCTATGTTGATTACTGCTTTTAATATGAGTGCACAAGAGGCTAACACCACTTTTGTTCCTTACTACCTTTGACATCATATGCATGTTTTATAATGCTCAAAAAAATTTTTTTTCTAACCCTGATAATAATTAATGTGTAATTAATATTTATGTGGCACAAAATATGTGTGTGTGTGTATGTATGTATGTATGTGTGTATGTGTGTGTATATATATATATATATATATATATATATATATATATATTATGAAAGTATTAAAAGTTAAAGTGTTACTCCAAGCTTGATGACCACTGCAGTGATTCATAGTGGTCATAGTGCCTGGAGTCTGTATATGCAGCATTTTGCTATGAAACAGTGCACATACGGAGTGTAACCCCTTTGCTGCTGGAAGTATAACTCTGCTCCTGGCAGCATCATTGGGGCATCATTAGCCAGGCCAGAACAGGTGTTATGGGCTGGCTAATGTCAATTCTGTGCATATCTCTATACATTGAACTGCATTCATTGGCTCTCAGAGTGGATGGATTGTGGGATTGACTTCTGGCTTCTGAAGATCTGGAGGTAAGAGGGCAAACTATCTAAAATGGTTTGCCCCCTTATTGGTAAACGGGCCAGTGTAGTCCTAGTATCAAAACCACTACAGTGAGCTTGGAGTAACCCTTTTAAAACAGTTGTGGGGTGAAGTTCTAAAAGGAAGCAGTTGTCATGGAAACTACGGTAAATGGTATTTTTCTGCTTACCGTTTCACTTCTATAACCCCACATTTTGCTGTTTATGGATCTCTAACCCCTAATTTGCCTGATGAACAATAACTTATGCATGCTAAAACACATTACACAGACTGGGTCATTCTATCTTTCATTATATCTCCCACCACTTTTCTTCGGGTTGTAGTAACTCTGAGAGAAGAACTATTCGTCACTCAACGGGTTAAAACAAGAGTATTGCCTGTTTTCTCTGTCATTTGTTATTGCAATAATTGTGCATACACATACCACAATACTCATTAATCGTGTTATTTTTCCCTCTCCTCGCACCAAGCCCTCAATTAAGATCTGTATTAAGTCCTAATTAACCTTTGTTGCATTTTTCCACCCCTTCCTCTGCCTAGCACTCCTATTTCATTACTCCTGACGTAACCGGACTGCCGACAATCCCTGAAAGTGTATGTATCTAATTGGGTTTTAACCACTTGTCTGTTTTTCCCGAACAAGCCTGTTTACTTGTTAACTTAATCACTTTGTGCGTTCTGTTTTGTATTAAAGCGAGAATCCTGCATGTGTTAGATAGACGCAATAACAAAATCTCAGTCACTGACCTATAAAATTATTTTAAGTTTTTATTCAGGCTTAACTACCATAAGTCTGCTCCATAAAGACTACTTTCATATTGGTTTTTCCTGTGATAACACTTGTGATTGATGTGCCTTAGATATTCTATACAATTAGATTCTCCTATAGGTTTATGGTCCCCAGGACTCCAAGTTAATATGCATTTATCCAGTAGCACACCTGTTATATTATTAGCCCTAACATCACCTCCTATGGGGTGAGAGAATATGGGTCTCATGGTTGGCAGGGTGTCTGGGCTATGTCCCTCTTTCCTTCTTTAATTAACCATTTACCTGCTGATATCTCAAGCCAGTTTAGGGAATTTCTGCTATTTTGCCTGCAAAAAGCAGGCAAGTGGCAATTTACGGATGCACGTCTGAACATACTAGTTGAGCGACAATTCTATTTCAATTGGTGCTTGATAATTATCCATATACCTAACCTTTTGACTGCTATTTTTTTATATCTCTGGATTGCTTCAAGCACATTCAGTACATTGGCACATTCAGCACATTTCTGCAAACTGGCCTCCTAATTGCTTTTAGTGAGTAGCTGAATTTCAATTTCAGGTCAAATTTGGGAAAATATTCACAAAATTTAGCTTTTTGGAAACCTATTGAGAACTATTGAATAACATCACTTATTGCTTTTTCTATTGTATGGGTTGAGGCTGGAACGTTCACCCTTGCTTATTTTATACTTACTTAGACAATAATAATCAGATTGATATAATATTACATGAAAGAACCTAATTAGTTATATTTAGCTTCCGACTAATTATGGCTGCCAATGATTGGCTTTGGCAATAAGCAATATATGGCTAGGTATAGCACCTGCATCATCACTAGATTTACTTCAAATATCGGCCAGACCCAAATATATAATTTGTTCAGTGATCCGGGGCCCGTTCATTCTGGTAACCTCAACCATATTGATGCAGTTTTTGTTTTTTCTTCCCATTTTTCAATTCCATTTCTGAACACGAGAAAGAGGAGTTATGTTAACGGATTTACAGTGAACAGACTTTGTGAATTCCTTGCATGTGATCTAAAAGGTTATATTGGAGAATTATGGAAAGGGATGTTGTCACCTGTCTAATGTTTTAAAATAAAACAATTAAAATTGTTACTATTTGTAAGCTCACTCACACCCTGTAGTTACTAAATGTGTATATAGTGAGTGTGTTATAGTTACAAACGCAGGACTTCTTCACTACCGTCAGTGTGATGTCACGTGACTTACGCAGTCCTGTTGCCCCATTACATGTATTACAGAATATAGTATAGAAGACGCATGGTGTGTATGTTCATGACATCTATGGCATGTTGCTACAGGAGGCAAGAAAGGAGAATTAAAAATACAAGATATTCTTTTGAGTTCTTCTCCATATATTTGGATTCACAGAAAATATAGAGCGATGTTAGTGTATTCTAATTGATGGGAGCATCCTGAGTGCTGTGGATGTACCTGTTCATCTCTTCTGCCTTAACATCTAGAAGTGACAAATGAACATATAAAGGAACTCTTGAGTGTGTCCTACGGCCTAGAGTGACCTCATTATTATTGTACTTTGAATTAGTTAATATGGTTAGTTGTAGAAAAAAAAGAACTCATTACACACAGATAATCTTTGCTATCATTGAGAGTTTTGTAAGGAACCCTTAAAAAGAGGTTTTAAATAACCTGATTAAAATGCCCATTATCCTATGCGGCGAAGCATTCTATCCAATAAATGCACATAGCAAAACACTCCATGATCCTGCATAGGACAGAACTCACAACTGATAATATTTTGAAAAAATGTGATATACTGTAACCAAAGTTGTCAGGTTTGGGTGACATATATAGACGCAAGGTGCTTCTTGAGTCTGTATAACTGTGGTGTAAGCATGTTGACTCAGTCAGTGCTTGTCACTATATGGTTTCAAAAGCATGGCTGTGAATTCTATACTATTTTCCATAATGCCTCATCAACATATAGCCATTAGAAAACATCTTTCTGACTTAAGAAAAATAAATGAGAACTGTGTTAAGTATAGTGAATACATATATTAAAGATGATATTTTATAGAAACATATCAATCATATTACTTTGTTTAAATGTAGTTTAGAATTTCCAGGGATTTTAATAAAATGGGACGAATAAAGGAGACAGAGTTTACATTTGGGGTCAAAGTGACTAGAAATTACTGTTAAAATCAAAGTTTTATATGAGGATGAAGGATCTCTTATACTTGAGCTGCATTTTTAAAGTACATGCAAGATTCCAGTTTAAGTTGCAGAATGTGGACATTTTGGTGTTAAAATAAATGGTAGGATTTCTACACATGAATGTATTTTAATTGATTATGATTTTTTTTCTGCACAGAGGAACCTGACTGAATATTTTGTAGCAGTGGATGTAAATAACATGCTTCAGATTTATGCTAGTATGCTCCATGAACGCAGAATCATCTTCACATCCAGGAAATTAAGCACGGTGAGAACTTTAATATATTCAATATATATATAGTGTATTCCATTTTCTGATCAATTAGACTTTCCCTTACTACTCAGACTTTCAAGAAATCCTTGAAACCCCAACTCTTTAGGAACTAACCGGATAAAGGGACAGTCTAAGTACCCCAACGTCCGTTGTTTATAGTTACAGTGCAAGAAACATTTGGGAACTGTAGCATCGTGGCTTTTTTTCCGAAATTTTTTTTGTTGTTTGATAAAACTGTTGGCTGTCCTGGCACTGAAAGCCCAGCCTTGCTGCTGCCACTTAGTTATTGTGGGAGTTTAACTTCAGCGTAATCTGTGTGTATCCAGCTTATCATTGCTTTTCAAGGTTGGATTTAATTGTGAGGATAATGTGAAAAGGTTTCTGTTATCTGTATGACAACAGAGGGGCCAGGCATTGGATGTTGATAGAGCCACATTTACTTGTCCAACGATTTCACAAAAACAGAGGCAGTTCGACATGCCCTGTCTTTTGTACCATGCAACTGAAAACAATGCCAATTTGCAGGAATGGCACTGTTTAAATTACAGGGTTAACATGCCTCTAGTGCTTGTGTTCCTTACCGCCACAAGAAGTACTTCTGACCAAATAGCCAAGGTATAGTATGAATACTGTACTCCTAATGTTTCTCTATGTAGAAATATTGTATTGGCTGAAGTAATCAGTCTTGATGGCCTTAGGTGAGTAGGTGGAGCTTTGGGATGGAGAGGGCACTCAGCGGGATATGAGGTAAGTAAATCTTAACTTTGGAGAATGACGCATATATAGGAATTGGAATACTATAGCTTTACAAATACAGATTTGTATTCCTAATGCTATATATTTTTTGTAGCGTTCCTTCAAATACGTTGTGGTGGTTATGGTGTTTAAAGTGTCTCTTCAAGTGCTTTCCCCATCTCATCTCCCCTTTGTTTTAAGTCATCTAATTTTTATAGATCATATTGTTAATATACCTATCAATCCATCTTTCAACAAAAGATAATGTTCAAGTATATATTTTTTTAATTTTAATTACAACTCACTTTCTTATGACTGTATGCTTATTTGAGAAGGGGCACCACCACCTGTTTTTCCTGTAAGTTCAAATTTGTCGTGAGTTCACGTGTGTCTCATACACCCATTGTGTGCAGTTCTGCAGAAAAGGTTGCTGCTTTTTCCGTACTGAGTAATATCCTAATGCTTATATCAGACAATGGTCTCTCACCTTCTCATTCATTTGCACACAGAAGGAAATAGGTCCTCTTTACTGCTACCAGACTGTTTCTTTCTTTTCTATGAATAAAGAGGATTTTTTTTAGATGAGCTACTTGCCTATGAATAAGAGCCAAAAGGGCTTGAAACATATTTGTCAGTTTACGCTTTTTATTGGTTTTCCACCCCTTTTGTCTATATTGACAATTAACATCATATGGTTCATTCACTGAACAGTGAATTATGGTAAGGTGAGAAATGGTAAAATAAAATGCAAATGTTAGTCCAAAGTAAACGACCTGAAAAAAATAAATCTCTGGTTCAGCTAGTTTTTCATCTCTAAATAATATGTTGTAAATCAAGTTTTATTGGCAGAAACATAAATGTGGAGATGCACATAAATGTGAAACATAGAACAATGCATTTAATGAAATAGGAAGTGTTAGTTTATATATCAATCCTATTCTCAATCTATTAGGCAAGGAATAGTTGTTACCATTGATGTACAGGAGGGATGAGAGTGCTAATAGTCCCTCTAAGAGAGCAACACAATAGGTGGCTAAGTGAACATAATAGAAAGACTGGAGTTTATTCAGATCTTGGAGAAAGGCACCTACCTTTCTGAGAGGTTCCCTTTCTAGGTCTTGAAAAACTCTATGGCCTATATATAATCTGAGTTAGTGTCCAGAGCCTCTCTGGTTCAGTCTACAATTTCTATTCTTGATAGCGGATATTGAAAAACATGCTCCTTGTATGTAAAAGTTGGGAGAAGGTGAAAGTTAGGAGAAGTATGGCAAGATTAAACAGAAGGGAACACGAAGAGAAAAGATGGTAAAATGGAAAAGTAGAAAGCATGTAGAGGATAGGTCACATGATGGTCACATAAAAAGAGAGTTGTAAAACGCATTGTCCACAGTGTGAATGGATAGTCATCCTTGAAAATGTCCTGGGTTTACCTGGATTTGCCAGGTTTGGCAGCCTTTTTTTGTTGACTCTGAGCAAAACACATCTTCTGGGCATGATTTGTAGCTCTGCCCACGCCCAATAAGTTCCAGTCCAAAACTAAGCTTATTTCAGGAATTGTGTCCAACTACTTAATGAGATACGCTGCTCATGCACAGGGCATACCCTGCTGCCATCCATGGAAAAATACAAGAAAAAAATGCAAAGACAAGCACTGGGAAATATAAGATAAAGAGGACCGTCTTTAAACATAATTTTGAAATGAATCTATTTCTTAAGTACCCCATGGTCACAATGTAGCCTATGCATTGTAAGTATTACATGTCAAGGCAGCCCTAAACAGGGAATATTATGTTTTATGACAAGATTGGACGATTGGCATCTGAGGCTGTTAAAGTGCCACATGAGAACATGCCTGGCTTGGAGTTTTGCTTTTTTCTGTATGTCCCCACCCCCTGTTAAATTAATATTGGTATTTTGCAAGCATAAATAAAGTTACATGTAATCCAAAGCAATTTTTGTCACACATCTTTATTGAAGAGTTTGTGTGTCGCTCATACTTGGAAAAATTGCGTGTGCTAATAGAAAGATTGTGTTGTTTTACTCAAAGTGGTCAGATAAAAAGTACGTGTTAGTTTTGCTATGTGACCAAGATATGTCAAGTACCCAATACAAAAGTAAAGCAAGACTACAGCAGACAATGTAACACTATTTAAAGTGGGGAGATATGCAATACTGTAAGAGGCAGTTTAAATGAAGAGACAGAAAATAATGCATTGTCGCATAAAGTATAGCACAAGCAAGCAAAATAATTCTACTATATTTAATAAGGATGGCATCCTAAGCATTTTCTAAGATTACATATTTTGTTTGACGTGTGGCCCCTCATATACACTGAGCAAAATTATTAACGCAACAGTTTTGTTTTCGCCCCCATGTTTCATGAGCTGAACTCAAAGATCTAAGACTTTTTCTATGTACATAAAAGGCCTATTTCTCCCAAATATTGTTCACAAATCTATCTAAATCTGTGTTAGTGAGCACTTCTCCTTTGCCGAGATAATCCACCCACCTCATAGGTGTACTCTGTTCCGTGCTATAACAATTGTCCCAACCCCTTTTTCTTTATCAGTAAATAGGTTAAAACGTACTTTTTAAGCCAGCACCGGATGAGATTTTTCACATCCTGTCTGATATCGCAGTCCAATCAGATGATTCTCATAGATGGGAGGGAGGACTTTAAATAAAAAAAATAAAAAAATAGAAAATGGAATGCATAAAACAGAGGAAGGCTGGGAGGGTCTGCACCGACTTAGGAAGGGGAGATTAAGATGACAAAATTTATCACCACAGCGCTGTGCTTGCAGATGACTTATATAATATTTGCACAGAATTTACATTATTAAAGAGACACTATAGTCACCCAGACCACTTCAGCTCAATGAAGTGGTCTGGGTGCCAGGTCCCTCAGGCTTTAACCCTTTAGATGCAAACATATAGTGTTCCTTTACATTTGGGGTTAAAGGAACACTATAGTCACCTAAACTACTTTAGCTAAATAAAGCAGTTTTAGTGTATAGATCAGTGATGGCGAACCTATGGCACGCGTGCCACAGGTGGCACTCCGAGCCCTCTCTATGGGCACGCGGCCATAGGTCGCCGGGGGAGGGGGCTGCTGGCGCCGGTCGGCAGCAATACAGAGTAGGCACCTGTGTGTGTGTGTGTGTGTGTGTGTGAATGTATTCAGTATTCTGTGTGCAGACTGTGTGTATGTATTCAGCAGTCTGTGTGTACTTGGCATTTTGTGTGTGTGTGCAGGGGCGGGCTGGGCCGGGGGGCAGGGAGGCAATTGCCCCCCAGGCCGCCCTAAATTCTGTTAGGACCGGCCACTGCAGGGCCGGCCCTTTAAATGCTGCAGCCGCATGAGCGCTCTGTGAAGAGCCTCAGGCGGCTGCAGCTGCTCTTCTCCTCCCCTCCCCTGTAGCATGGCCGAGCTGCTCGCTGGCCCGCGGTGCCCGGCCGGACTGATAGGAAGGTGCACACTCAGTGTGCACTTCCTGTCAGTCCGGCCGGTTACAGGAAACAGAAACTCCGCGCGGAACAGGAAATTCTGTTCCGCGCGGAGTTTCTGTGTCCTGTAGCCGGCCGGACTGACAGGAAGTGCACACTGAGTGTGCACCTTCCTATCAGTCCGACCGGGCACCGCGGACCAGCGAGCAGCTCGGCCACGCTACAGGGGAGGGGAGGAGAGGTGAGGGGGGGAAGTAAGTGAAGGGAGGGGAGTAAGTGAAGGAGAGGGGGGGGATAAATGAAGGAGGGGGGGAATAAGTGAAGGGAGGG